CAGCAGTGTGAAGGCGAAGCCCTTCCGATGCCTTGCCAGCAGTGCCCGCATCGCTGCCTTCCCTTCTTCGCTCATGCTCTCACCTATCTTCCACTCTGGCTCCTGTTTCTGCAGGCAGGCCCACACCCCTTGCCTCACCGTCGCCACTGTGTTTTCTCCCTCCTTCAGTCCCCAGTGCAGCACTGTCTCCTTCCACATCCGCTGCACCAACCACCTCATCATGTACCCATCCATGGCATTCCCCAATGCCCGTCTCCGTTCCTTCTCGCTCACGCCTGGGGCTGCTGTAGCGTTCTCCTTGTATCCCATGGCCAGCTCCCTCTCCAAGGCCGTGGGCTCTTCCCACTGTCCCTTCCTGTGGTCATGCACCAATCCTGGGCCTGGCTGCTTCCCATCCATCTGATAGCCTGCTGTCCCCTCATATGACACCAGGGTAGGCAGTGCCTGCCTTTCCTGTCCCACCTGGTTGCAGGGATAATGCCTGCTGTAGCCCTTCTTGGTCACTGGTGCTGGCGTTCTTCCTGGCTCCAATATGTCGCTCAGCTTCCGTCCCCCAGCTCTCTGCACCCCTTCTATTTCCTTCTGCAGGTCTTCTACTGGTACCACATTCTGCCAGTACATCCTGAGCCTGTGCGCATATGCTCCCATCCGCGCCGCATCACTGCTCACTCCTTTCCCCACCTGTCTGGTCACTCTCTCCCTTACTAGTCTTATCGGTTCTCTCACGTCTCCCTCCATATCCAAGTGCTCCAGCAGGTAAGCCACTCTGCCTTGCCTCGCCTGCACCCACTCCATGACTCTGAACAGATCCTCCATCAGTTGTGTTCGTAGGTCTTGCTCACCCTTGCCCTTCCCTGCCCATGATACCCCTTGGCATTCCCACCCTGCCACCAACAGGTCCACGTGCCCCCAGCTTGCTACCTCAGCTTCCGTAATGGCCCTTACATCGTTCACTCCTCTGCTCATTGCTGCCTTGATCACCTCTCCCTGCAGCAGCTCCGGGAACTCTCTGTGCAACTCCCACGCCTGATGCTCCGCTATTTTCCTCACTTCTGGTGCTTTCTCCACGTAAATCCACTGCTTCACTGCAATTCCATTTCGCACCACTGCTGCCAGTCCCGCCCCGATTCCTCCGAACAGCTCCACCAGCCGAATGGGTTGCTGCCAATCGGTCTGCTGGCTAGGTTCGTCCATGAAACGCATCCTGGGCTCCCCACCTTGTCCCTTGCCTGTTGCGGCCTTCTGTGCCCCCTGCTTCGCTGTCACCTCCTTCAGATCTGCCCTGTAGGCCCTTTTTGGCTCGGTCCTGACAAACTGCACCGGCAGCTGCCCCAGTGGCTCACCCTTCCTCCACCACCTGGTTCTGAACTCCACTGTCTCCTTCCAGAAGCAGATGGTCATGCCCAATGCAAAGATCATCTCTGTGCCCACCAGGACGTCAAAATCTTCTGACTCTGAGATCCCGCACCTGATTCTAACCGGCGTCTCATGCTTCTCCCCCTTCAGCACCGTCAGTTCTATTGGAGTCCTCGTACAAGGCATCCACTTCGACTCTCCCCCCTCTGCTGTCATCACTAGCATCCCCTTCACCACATGCCTGTCAGGTGCCCACAGTCCCAGCTTCTCGGCCATCCCCTTTCCGAGTATCACGCTCTGCGCTCCAGTGTCTATAATAGCCGTCTTAGCCTTCTCCCCTTCCACTGACAGCGCACCACCTTGGATCAGCAGCACGGAAGTCTGGCAAGCCAACCTCTCCTGGGGGTGCCGTGCTGCTGTGCATCTCTCCTCCTTTTCCTCCGGCTTCTGTCCTCTCTCCCGCTCCTTTCTCAGCTGCTCCTTCCGTGCATCCTTTCCTCCGCTGCGCAACCCCCTCTCCTCCCTTCCTCGCCATGCCATGTATGCTGGTTGCTCCTCATGCTCCATCTCATTCTCTCCTCTTCCCGCCCAGACCATGAACGCGGCTTCCTCATCCTGCTCCACATCTTCTTCCTCCTCTTCCTTGGCGTACATCCCCGCCTCTGCTTCCCGTCGTGGTCCCATTGCCTGCAGCTGGGCCTGCAGCCTGCTGATTTGCTTCTCCATATCTTCTGGTGACTTCTTCGCTGCTCCCTCTCGCTGATAACACTCCTTTGCTGCATGCCCTCCTTTCCCACAGACTTCACACTTCGGTGCCGTTGGACATTCCCGCCGCCGATGCCCTGGCTTGCCACAGGAGTCACAGTTCTTGCAGTCTCGGCGCAAGTGTCCTGGCTGCCCGCATCTGTGGCATGTTCGTGTGTCAGGCCTGGTCTCCCCTCTTCCCGCTGCCCTGTCCTTCTCCTCCGGTATCATGGCCGCAGCCCATGTAGGCCCCCTGCCTCGCTCCGCCTGTCTGGGCCTGTATGCTTCATATTTCCTCTGCGCCAGCTCCATCTTCTCTGCCAGTTCAAACACCTCTTCAAGCGTTGTGTCGGCCCCCATCTCATACACCTTCATCCGCAGTCCGCTTCCCAAAGTGCCCTCCAGCCCATCCAGGAATTTACTCACGAGCAGGGCCATGTCTGCGCAAGTCACATCCTCTGCCAGGTTGACCAGCCGGTTATAGTAGGTGAGTAGTGACTCGCCCCGCCCCTTCCTGAAATCTTGGAATTCCCTGATCTTCTCTGCGGTGTGACCTGGAAACTGCCGTTTCAGCCGCCTCAGGAATGCTTCAGTAGGGTCTTCCCCGTACCTTCCTGCCCTTTCCAGTAGCTCATCCATCTTCATCCTGTACAATGTCTCCGCCTCCCCTTCCAATGTGTTTGGCAGACTCAGGAAAAAGTCCACCGAGTCCATGCCGCTCCTTTCGCATCTGTACCGCACGTTGCCCACCTGCATCAGGTAGTTCTTCAGCGTGGGGCCCGTGCGCTGATCTCCTGAGAAGCGTGCTGGCACTTCCACTCTCGTGGCCATTACCGTGCTTCCCTTGCCTTCTCCCCACGCCTCGCTATCAGCCCGCTGCCTTCCTCTCTGCTGTTGCGTTGATCCCGTCCTCCCTCACTGGTACGTCTTCCGTCATGCTGCCAGTACCGATCAGGTGAGTGATACCCTCCGCCGCGCCCCTCATCCCTGCTCTGTTGCCGAAGCTGCGAGCCGTATCCGCCTCCCCGGCTTTCTTCATGTTGCCTGTGCCAGTCGGGCGAGCGCGTCTCGCTTCCCCACCTCTCTCCATGATACCGTTGCAGATCAGGCGAGCGGTAGTCGCCTCCGCGTCTCTCATCACGAGGGTAACGAGGACCTGGAGAGCGCAGCTCCCCCCCGCTTCTCCAGTTGTGATACCTCCGCGGATCTGGTGAGCGCACACTTCCCCCGCGTCCACTGTCCTGGTGCCGCCGTAGCTCTGGCGAGCGGTAGCCGCCTCTGCGCCTTTCTTCCTGCAGTTGCTGCCGTCCTGGCGAGCGGTAGCCGCTTCCGTGCCTCCCGTCCTCGTGCGGGAGACGTGGATCTGGCGAGCGCGCGCCGCCACCGCGTTCCCCGTCACGATTCTGCCGCCGATCTGGCGAGCGCGTACCGCCGCCACGCCCCCCCTCCCGATACATCCGTGGATCTGGCGAGCGCGTGCCTCCGTCGCGTCCCCCATCACGATTCAGCCGAGGCTCTGGCGAGCGCGCACCGCCGCCGCGTCCTCCGTCCCGATTCAGGCGCGGATCAGGCGAACGCGCGCCGCCGCCACGTCCCTCGTCACGCTGCTGACGCGGATCTGGAGAGCGCGCGCCACTGCCACGCCCCCCGCCGTCACCTTTCTCTCCGTTGCGCGGCAGGTCTCGAGTACCGCCCTTTCCTTCCGCCTCCGCCGTGCTCGGCTCCGCCGCCACGCCCGCCTGCGCGGGATCGTCGTCATCAACTTCAGCGGGCATCTCGCGCTGCTCGCCTGCGCCTTCCTCCTGGGGTTCGTCATCGCCCTTGGTCTCGCCTTCACGATTCGTCTCCCGCACTCGATTCGCCGAGTCGGCCTCGTCTTCTCCATCCACATCAAGATCGCCTTGGCGACCCGAGAAGAGCTCCTCCAGACCTCGCCCACGACTTCTCTCTTCGCGACGGCGATAGCCTTCCTCCGGCGAGCGGTATGCTCCCGTGTCCTGGCGGTACCCACGACCGCCATCCGCTCCGTGACGCCCGTCCGTCCGCCACGGGTCACTCCCCGTCGTGACGGATCCAGATCCGCCTCTTCCTTCTCGGGCGGATCCTCCCTCCTGGCGATCTGGCGCGAGAGGGACCTGATCCGCGCGAAAGGCCGGCCTCCGCGGCGATCGCTCAGGCCGCCGCGGCGACCTCTCCAGCGAGCGCCCGCGCTCACGTGAGCGTTCGCGCCGCGAGCGATCCGCCTCACGGCGACCATAATTCCTGCCGTAACGCATCTCGTACACATCCATGCTTGTACGCGCACCTTTCTGTTTGTTATGAAAGCGACAGAACTCTCACCTCAAAGGTCCTCCCTGAGTGGTGTGCCACCCGCCTGCTCTGGTAAGGTAACAACAGTCCACTATACGAAAGGATAACAAACAGAAAGCATCAGAGGTGTGTGTGAGAGTGAACTTACCTGACCCTGGCTCGAACCGTGCATTTCTCAATGTGCGGCTCGAGCCTGGGTTGGTTCGTTCTCATTGGTTGCAAGGATTTCACCCAAGGTGCTCTCCTACCAACTTCGCGTCAATTTCCCAGCTCCCACCTACCTATCCTCGAATTTGCAAACACAACATAGCTACACCTCCACTACACCACCATGATACTGGCACCTTATATGCACAACCGTGCATATTCGGTGACAATTCCCTTGCAGAGTGGCAAAAAGGACTGAAACTGATCACACTCCAGTTGCTCCCTCATCCCTTGCACTCCCTCACGTTTCCCAGGACTGCCTTGGTCGCACTTCCTTCCCCGGAAATTTACTCTTCTGAGAGTTTTGCGACGAAAGAAAGAAAGCCGTTGAATGCTTCACGAAATGCCCACACTGTGTCGCTTTTCTATCTCTGCCGCCGCAGATGTCTCAAGGCTTTACAGGAGCCACCACTGTATCGGCTACCATGCTGCTTGCTCACAAGGTGAGGTTTCGATAGTGTGTGTGTGCGTGTGTGTGTGTGTGTGTGTGTGTGTGTGTGTGTGTGTGTGTGTTGTGCGTGCAGACGGCACATCATCTCAAGGCCTCACAGGAGCCACCACTGTATTGGCTACCATGCTGCTTGCTCACAAGGTGGGTAGTGATGCGTCATACCATACAGTGTGTGTTTTGGCTTGTGCACCGAAGTGTGTGCGTGCGTGTGTGTGTGTGTGTGTGTGCGTGTGTGTGTGCGTGTGTGTGTGTATGTGTGTGTGTGTGTGCGTGTGTGTATGTGTGTGTGTGTGTGTGTGCGTGTGTGTGTGTGTGTGTGTGTGTGTGTGTGCCTTTGTGCCTACATACGGTATGTCATCGCAAGCCCTCTCGGCGCCCACCAGTGTGTCGTCCGCCATGCTGCTCACCCACGAGGTGAGGTGTCTCGCCGTCTTAATAACATCTAAGTTGATGGACATTAGAGCTCCGCGAGGTGAGGTGATGCTTACTAATAACAGCACCCACGAGGTGAGGTGTTGTGCTGTTGATGCATCATACAGTGTGTGCACCCGAGTGTGCATGTGTGTGTGTTTGTGAGTGCATGCCCCATGTCATATCAAGTCCTCACAGCAGCCACCAGTGTGTCAGTTAGCCACCATGCTGCTCGCCCACAAGGTGGGGTGTCTATTCACCATGCACCATGCACCATGCACCGTGCACCATGCACCATGCACCATGCACCATGCACCATGCACCATGCACCATGCACCATGCACCATGCACCATGCACCGTGCACCATGCACCATGCACCATGCACCATGCACCGTGCACCATGCACCATGCACCATGCACCATGCACCGTGCACCGTGCACCATGCACCATGCACCATGCACCGTGCACCATGCACCATGCACCATGCACCGTGCACCGTGCACCATGCACCATGCACCGTGCACCGTGCACCATGCACCATGCACCGTGCACCGTGCACCGTGCACCATGCACCACACTGCGCATGTGCCACCTTTTGCACACCTCAAGGCCACAGGAGCCACCGCTGTGTTGGCTACCATGCTTCTCTCTCACAAGGTGTGGCTCCATGCACCATGCACACTGGACGGGAACGCCTCTCACAAGCCACCACTGTCTCGGCAATCATGCGGCAATTAATTCCTTGAGTTATTTTCCCTCCCATGCCCTTGGTCCTTCCATCCCATCTTTATGCAGGTGGGCATTCCTGTGTTTTTAACATTGGCGGCGTGCACCGAGGGGGGGAGAGCAGTAAGCAGAGAATGCGTTTTTGTGCTCACTGCCCCCCTTCCCTTCTGCCCCCTTCCCTTCTTCCCCCTCTTGCACCCCTCTTTCCATGTCAACACCGCAGGTGGGCATTCCTGTGTTTGTAACGGGGGGCATTGGCGGCGTGCACCGAGGGGGGGAGAGCAGTAAGCAGAGAGGGGGGAGGAGAAGTGAGGGGACGGGGGCAGAGAAGTAAGGGGAGAGGAGGGGCGAACCAAAAGGTGGAGAACAAGAAATGAGAGAGGGGGGAAGTGGAGTAAGGGGAGAGCGGGAGAGCATTAAAAGGGGATGGGGAGAGAGGGTGGTCGAAAGCGAGGTTGTTTTCTCTCATCGACCACAGCCCCTACAAAGTCGGTGCGACTTTTGAGAATTCTCAAAAGTCGCACCTACAAAGTCCATCTCCCCACTGTTGGATTTAGTTGGTTTCGATCCGCAGCAAGCCTTGTGACGACTTTTTATTCCACCTGAGAGAAAGGCTTGTCCGGTGAGGAGATGTCTAAGATTTTATTCCACCAGAGAGAGCTCATCTTCTAAGTTGTCTCAGAAGCCATTCTCTCTCCCCTGAACCCATCCCCCGCCACCGATGGACATCTCATCCGACCTTACAGAGCTACTCTGAGTTAATCATCTCATCAGACACGTGTGATGAGTTGATTTTTGAGTCGACTCAAAATTCTACTCTGAGTTAATAATCTCATCAGACCCCGAGGCGCCTAAAACATTCAACTCATTTCATCGGACCTCACAGAGCTAGTCTTTCCCCTTCCCCTTCCTCCTCTTCCGCTGTCCCCCATATCCACCCTCCCCTCTTCCTCCGCTCCCTCCCCCTTCTTTCAACCCCCCCCAGCAATGGACATCTCATCGGACCTTACAGAGCTGGGTCACACACCCGTGGCCGTGGTGTGTGCGAGGGTCAAGTCCGTGCTGTCCCTCCTCTCCCCCCCCTCGCCCCCCTCCCCCCCCCAGCGATGGACATCTCATCAGACCTCACAGAGTTAGGTCGCACGCCCGTGGCCGTGGTGTGTGCGGGTGTCAAGTCAGTGCTCGACATTCCGCGTACGCTTGAATACTTGGTGAGTGGTGTTTGGGGAAGTGAAGTCGTTGGACTCAGTAGAACGCCTGTACGGTGCCAAGGAGTTTATTGTATATATATGTATATTACATGTATGGACATCTATTCTTAACATGTATCAAAATCTATTCTCCTGTTCTCCATTTTTTTTTTTTTTTCTCTCCCCTCCTCCCTTTGCATGCCCCTCGTCCCACTACAGGAGACGCAAGGGGTGACAGTGGTGGTGTACGGTGCCAAGGAGTTCCCAGCGTTCTTCACACCAAGATCTGGCTGCCCTGTCAGTGCCCTTCCCTCTCAACACGTGTGGGATAAGCATAATGTTTGATAACCTTTTTCCAATAAGTCTCAACTCTCCTCCCCCTCTCTCACTACCACCCCTTCTCTCTCCTACTCACCCCTTCTCTCTCCTACTCACCCCTTCTCTCTCCTACTCACCCCTTCTCTCTCCTACTCACCCCTTCTCTCTCCTACTCACCCCTTCTCTCTCCTACTCACCCCTTCTCTCTCCTCCTCACCCCTTCTCTCTCCTACTCACCCCTTCTCTCTCCTACTCACCCCTTCTCTCTCCTAATCACCCCTTCTCTCTCCTACTCTCCCCTTCTCTCTCCTACTCACCCCTTCTCTCTCCTACTCACCCCTTCTCTCTCCTACTCACCCCTTCTCTCTCCTACTCTCCCCTTCTCTCTCCTACTCACCCCTTCTCTCTCCTACTCACCCCTTCTCTCTCCTACTCACCACTTCTCTCTCCCACTCACTCACATCTCTCTCCCACTCAACCCATCTCTTTCCCTCTCAACCCATCTCTCTGCCACTCACCCCATCTCTCTCCCAATCAACCCATCCTCCTTCTCCCCTCTTTCACCCTGCAGGCACCCGCCACTCTTAGCGACCCTGCCAGCTGTGCAGCTCTCATTGGTGCGCCCTTGTACAGTCTCTTTGTCCTCTCTTCAATCTTTCTTTTCCCTTCGGAGCAACTCATTTATTAACTTCTCTCTTCTTCTTGAGTCTCGATGCACTCCCATTTCACTAGTCCGTATCCCCAAGTTCCAAAGACCTTGCCACCTAATTCTCATGCCACTAATTCTCCCCTACTGTACTTAGCGTTTTCCCAATTGTGAAACCTCTTTGCACTTTTCCCTCTTCCACTTGTGCCATTGGCTCCCGCTGCATTTCCACCCACACACACTCACACTCCGTCACACTCCGCCGGAGCTCAGGAGTGGCATGGAGATTGCATGCATCTCTGCAGGCAGAAGAAGCTTCCAGGAACCAAGGCTAACCTTCGCTCACGGTCGCTCCCCTCTCCCTCTCCCTCTACAGACGCCAACCCCCGCATGCAACTTTTGAGTGGCATGGTGATAGCAGTGCCGGTGCCCCAGGGGCAGGCAGCAGAGGCATAGGAAGCTGCCAGGAACCAAGGCTAACATTCTCTCGCAGTTGCTCCCCACTCTTTCTCCCTCTCCCTCTCCCTCTCCCTCTACAGACACCAACCACCGCATGCAGCTTAGCAGTGGCATGGTGATTGCAGTGCCGGTGCCCCAGGGGCAGGCAGCAGAGGCAGAGGAGGTAGAGCGAGCAACACAGCAGGCCCTTGCAGAAGCAGAGTGAGTGTTTTACTGGGAGGTGGTGTTGCTGAAGTAAAGTCTGACGTGCTGGCAGCACCAGTAGTGGCAGCAGAGGCGGAGGAGGTGGAGTCAGCAACAGCAGCAGGCACTAGCAGAAGCAAAGTGAGTGGTTTTATGGAAGTTGGTTTTGATGAAGCTAAGTCTAACCTGCAGTCAGCAGCAGCAGTAGTGGCAGCAGAAGCAGAGGAGGTGGAGCGAGCAACGCAGCAGGCCCTTGCCGAAGCAGAGTGAGTGCTTTACTGGGAGGGGGTGTTGATGAAGCTATGTCTCACATGCTGGCTGCAGCAGCAGTGGCAGCAGCAGGTATGTATGGTGTATAGTGTACCGTAAATTTCAGTTGTCCCTGAAATTGCACATTCTCCTCTCACGGTTTTCATGCTTGTCCTCCATGTGTGAGGCATCGTGAACCAAGCCGTTTGCTTTTCCGAGAATCAATACCATCACTCTGTTCCTGTTTCTTCTCCCCCAGTTCCCCTCCTTCTCTTTCATGCCCACTCTCCCCGCATCTTCACCTGAACTGCTGCCTTTCACAGCGCACAAGGTGTGAAGGGGGCACAGGTCACACCGTTTGTCCTCAAGCGAATCAAGGAGCTGACTGGAGGAGCATCACTCACTGCAAGTACGTTTTAGCCAGATGGGTCTGTATGTGTATACATGTATCCATGGGGTGTGAAAGGGGCACACCACAGGTGACACCATTTGTGCTCAAGCGGATCAAGGAGCTCACAGGAGGGGCGTCACTCACTGCAAGTACGCCATATCAATCCTGTGATTCGATTTTAGAGTCTACTAAAAAATCACTGCAAGTACGCCATATCAATCCTGTGATTCTCATTCCATGGATTTTCTTTTGACTTATTTAATCCTCCATCCCTTTTCTCATCCTCACATGCACCACGTCTTTTCTCCTCATGTCCCCTTGCATATAGTTTCTGATTTAGAAAGCTCAACCCCCTCTTTTCTGAATCCCCTGTCCTTTTCATCATCTTCTATTCCCTTCTCTTGCCCTCTCTCCACCCCCCTTATGACCACCCTTGTCTCCCTCCAGACATAGCACTAGTGAAGAACAACGCCCGTCTGGGTGCCCAAATAGCCTGTGCTCTTGCACAAAGAAGAATGTCACCCGTGCCTAGATTGTAGTGTAGCTGCCAGTGCTGCAATTGTTTTGAGACGTCTCAAACACTTCTTCAATCATGTAGTGTAGCTGTCAGTGTTGCAATTCCACTGTGTAACACTGCACAAATATCATAGCAGGTTTTGCTTGAAAACGAATGTGTTGTTACCAGTACCACAAGCATATAGAATGCAGTTTGTATCAAGCCACAAATCCAGCAGGATACAGATCCTTTCTGCAGTGGAATGGGTGTGCCATTCAACCATTTACCAGCTCACATTGTAACTTGGTAGAGCTTGTGAGATACTAGCGGTTATTAGCGTCCAGCTTTCTCTGAAACGAAGTGCATTTTCGTGCTAGGATGTTTCTGTTTAACCTCTTGTACCCTTTATAATGCATCGCCAAACCCCTTGAGATTGACGGTATGGAACTGCTCCTTACGAATTTGTACTCGGCTCATTTGGCAATTCCAAGGCTGAAAGCATAGTTCCTGTCACATTTCGATTTGACTGCGTTCAGTCCAGTACTGCTGTCAAGTGTTACTGATCATGCGATGAACGGTGGAGTTTAGTTTCGCCTGTACGCCAGCATGGCGACAGTCTTACGCGCGACGCGACTCGCCGGACCGCTCAAACTCAGCAGCCGCTCATTCTGTCCGCGGAGCAGCTCAGAGAGCGTGTGCCATCGTGGCATAGTCCACGTCAGCGCGTGCCAGCGTGGCGTAGCTCGTGTCAGTGGGCTTGCACGGTCCTCTTCAGATGCCTCGTCGTACCGCGTCGCTCTATCCGCCAATGACAGGCTACATAAGGACCACATACCTAATCGTCCAAGTAGATTAGAACTCTCCAGTTCGTTGAAAGGTTGCGGAATTAGATGGAGCAGCAGCAACAGCGGCGCCAGTAGCAGCAGCGGACGTGGGAGCCGGCGATTGGACGACGGCGTGAAACGAGCGGCTGGACTTGGACCGGTCACCGCGGCGGCTCAACCGGGCGAAGAGCTAATGCACCGTATGTGGGCTGCTAGTATCGCGGATATCGCTTTTGAACTGAATTGAAAGTGAATATGACGGTTAAGAGTGAATCTGACGCATCCGCACCTCCTTTTGTCGTTTCCTCACAGTCACCCACATTCCCTCCTCTCCTCCCCATCCCCATCTCCCCGCCCTCCCATCTTTCCCCTCACACTCCACATTCCAACCCCTCACCCTCTCTCAACCCCTCACCGCCTCTCACCCCCCCCCTCACCTCCCCAATTGCCCCCCTCTCCCCCCTCTCCCTCACTCCCTCCTCTCCCGTCTCACCTCCCATTCTCTCTCGTTTAGATTGTTACAGAGTTCTACGAGATTCGACAAAAAGCAGAGGCGGTTAAGGAGCAACTAGCAGCCATCAAAGCCAACCTCCCCTTCATTCCCCGTTCCCCCCTCCCCCCCTTCTCGCCTCTCCTCCTCGTCCTGACTGGTTCAGAGTTCTACGAGATTCGACGAGAAGCAGAAACAGTTAAAGAGCAACTGGCAGCCATCAGAGCCACTGCCGACGTGCCACGTCAGCGCGCAGCCATTGCTGACCTAGAGCGTGACGTGGCAAGGGAGGACCTGTGGGAGGATCCAGCTCAGGCGCAGCAGCTGATGACGCAGCTCACAGAGCTCAAGGATGGCGTGAGAGAGGTGGAGGAATTTGCAGACAAGGTAGGGTGGTTGGTAGGGCGAAGGTAGGGCGGTTCATGTGGCAGAGGGGGGGTATGAGGATCGTACAGCAGGTGATGACGCAGCTGACGGGGCTCAAGGATGGCGTGAGAGAAGTCGAGGAGTTTGCAGATAAGGTAGGGCGAAGCAAACAAGGTGTTGCGGATAAGGTAGGGCGTTTCTGGCAGAGGAGTGGCATGTGCATTGAGAATGAGTAACGGAGCTGAAGGATGGCGTCAGAGAGGTCGAGGAGTTTGCAGTTAAGGTGGGGGCAGATAAGATATGGCGGACTCACGTGAGATGACTATATGTGCTGAGATGAGATGACTGTAATATTTTTATTTCATTCGTCTCATCTGCTGACTACCAATTACTGGCCTTCATTCCTGCTTCAAATATTCTTTCACTTGAAGTACCGCGCTTCATCTCTTTGCACTTCCAATTGCTGAATCCACTCGCCCCCCTTCCCACACACCAACAGGTGGAGGAGGTGTGTCTTATAGTGGAGCTGCTAGAAACGGAGCAGACACCAGACGCGTCACTGGTGGAGGAGGCAAGGGAGGGGCTGCAGTGGGCGCGGGGGCACATGGAGAGATACGCTGTGGCTCAGCTGCTCTCAGGGCAGTTTGATCGTAAAGGCGCGCGGCTGACCATCGCTGCTGGAGCTGGCGGCACAGACGCCCAGGTGGGAGTGGGTGGGGTGGGGATGGGGTGTGGGTTGCAGTGGGTGCGGGGGCACATGGAGAGATACGCTGTGGCTCAGCTGCTCTCAGGGCAGTTCGACCGCAAGGGGGCAAGGCTCACAATAGCTGCTGGCGCTGGGGGGACTGACGCTCAGGTGAGATGCGGTGGGGTGCGGTATGATGTGGTGGGGTGGGGTGTGGTGTCGGTTGAGATGCAAGGGAGGGTCTACAGTGGGTGCGGGGGCACATGGAGCGATACGCTGTGGCTCAGCTGCTCTCAGGGAGATTTGATCGCAAGGACGCCCGGCTTACAATTGCCGCGGGTGCAGGCGGGACTGATGCCCAGGTAAGATTGGGTGTGATGGAATGGAGTGCGGTGGGATGTGGTGGGTGGGATGAGGGGCACATGGAGATCTATGCTGTGGCTCAGCTGCTGGCAGGACGGTTCGACCGCAAGGGTGCACGGCTCACCATTGCTGCGGGTGCTGGGGTGGGGGGATGGACGCACAGGGGCGATGGGGTGCAGGGCGGTATGGTGTGGTGCGGTGCGGTGCGGTGAGGTGTGGGTTGCAGAGTTGCATGCGGTGGGTTGACAGGCGGCGCTTTAAAACCGGAGGTCCAAGAGTTTCTAAGTTAGGAAGGTTGAAAGGGGAGAGAAAGGTGACTGGCTCGCGAGCCAGGGTGGTGTCGAAATCAGTGGTAGCGGGTCGCTAAGTATGAAAAAGTCGCGAGTGTAACCAGATCTGGAATGCTACGTCAGAACTCGTTCGCTGACTGTTTCGGACGGGCTGCAAATGTGTTTGCGAAGTTGTCACCGCTATCGTCCTCGCTTGAACAGTAATTTCGCTTGGCGAAAATCGTCCCAACAATTTGCGAGGAGAGCTCGGTATCAACTGGGTCACACCCAACCGAAGTTAGGAAGGTTGAGGCAGTTTCGGGCTGTTTGGGACTCCGGTTTTAAGAAGCGAGTTGCACGTTTGTGTGCTCACGTCCCTGAGCTTTTCTGTGTGCGAATCCTAAACACCTCAGGACTGGGCGGACATACTCCTGCGTATGTACACGTGGTGGGCGGACAGGCGGGGCTTTAAGAAACGCAGTTCGATGTACTCGTGCGATTGATTTTCCTCAGGACTGGGCGGACATGCTGCTGTGCATGTACATGCGGTGGGCAGACAGGCAGGGTTATATGAAGCGAGTTGCACGTTTGTGTGCTCACGTGCCTGAGCTTTTCTGTGTGCGAATCCTAAACACCTCAGGACTGGGCGGACATACTCCTGCGTATGTACACGTGGTGGGCGGACAGGCGGGGCTTTAAGGAGCGAGTTGCATATATGAGCATCATTGATTCGCCCTTCCTCCTTCCCCTTTGAACATATGTCAGGACTGGGCGGACATGCTCTTACGCATGTACTCACGGTGGGCAGACAGGCGGGGCTTTAAGAAGCGAGTTGCATATATGAGCATCATTGATTCGCCCTTCCTCCTTCCCCTTTGAACATATGTCAGGACTGGGCGGACATGCTCTTACGCATGTACTCACGGTGGGCGGACAGGCGGGGCTTTAAGAAGCGAGTGGTGGAGCGGTCGGACGGGGAGGAGGCGGGGATCAAGAGTGCCACGCTTGAAGTGGAGGGGCGGTATGCCTACGGGTACCTGAGCGGGGAGAAGGGCACGCACCGGCTTGTTAGGCAGTCGCCATTCAACGCCAAGGGGCTCCGACAGGTGGGTTGGTCGATGCACAAGGGCGCGGTATGCCTACAGGTACCTGAGTGGAGACAAGGGCACTCACTGACTAGTCAGACAGTCGACATTCAACGCCCAAGGGGCTGAGACAGGTGGGCTTGTGTTGTATGTGCATGTGTACCTTGGAAAGCATGAAGGTAGGATGCGTATTGTACAGGTCATTTGTGGTTGGGCAGTCCGGTGGTCTTGAGACGTCTCAAAACAAGGTAGGATGCGTATTGTACAGGTCATTTGTGGTTGGGCAGTCCGGTGGTTTTGAGACGTCTCAAAACAAGGTAGGATGCGTATTGTACAGGTCATTTGTGGTTGGGCAGTCCGGTGGTTTTCAGACGTCTCAAAACAAGGTAGGATGCGTATTGTACAGGTCATTTGTGGTTGGGCAGTCCGGTGGTTTTGAGACGTCTCAAAACAAGGTAGGATGCGTATTGTACAGGTCATTTGTGGTTGGGCAGTCCGGTGGTTTTGAGACGTCTCAAAACAAGGTAGGATGCGTATTGTACAGGTCATTTGTGGTTGGGCAGTCCGGTGGTATTGAGACGTCTCAAAACAAGGTAGGATGCGTATTGTACAGGTCATTTGTGGTTGGGCAGTCCGGTGGGGAGAGGCCGGTCAGGGGGCGGTCAGGGGGCGGTCAGGGGGCGGTCAGCGGGATGTAGGTCTTCAATACTCCCTCTTGCATTCTTACCTCTCTCATTCCCCCGCAGACGAGCTTCGCAGGGGTGGAGGTTATGCTTTTGGTAGAGGAGGAGGCGATGAAGGTGGAGATTCCCGAGGATGACCTGGATGTGACTATAATGAGGGCGGGATGTGACAACACCGAACTTCGATGTTACCCCCTTCTTTTCACCCTGCCCTGTACCTCACAGACGAGTTCCTCAGGGGTGGAGGTGATGCCTTTACTAGAGAGGAAGAAGCGATCAATGTGGAGATGTTCTGAGCAGGACCTGGATGTGACTACAATGAGGGCTTAAAAGCCCTCTTCCGGCTTGCGTTCTACCCTCTCTCACAACTAAATCCACAGACGAGTTTTGCGGGGGTGGAGGTGATGCCACTGCTGGAGGAAGAAGCCATCAAGGTGGAGATTCCCGAGGATGACAACCTAGATGCGACTACAATGAGGGTTTGAAAGCTCCCTTCCCCCTTGCATTCTACCCTCTCTCACAACTATATCCACAGACGAGCTTCGCCGGGGTGGAGGTGATGCCTCTGCTAGAAGAGGAGGCAATCAAGGTGGAGATTCCCGAGGATGACCTGGATGTGTCTACTATGAGGGCGGGCGGCAAGGGCGGGCAGAACGTGAACAAGGTGGAGACGGCCGTGCGCATGGTGCACGTGCCCACGGGGATCGCTGTCAAGTGCTCAGGTGGGTGTAGAGCGGTAATGAGCGGTGATGAGTCGTTCTGGTGCTGGGGCACGGTGGTGAGGTGAACAAGGTGGAGACGGCGGTGCGCATGGTGCACGCCCACGGGGATCGCTGTCAAGTGCTCAGGTGAGGGGAAGTACAATGAGGTGATGAGCGGTAATGAGTGGTTCAAGTGCTGGCACGCGGTGGCAAGGTGGAGACGGCCGTGCGCATGGTGCATGTGCCCACGGGGATTGCTGTCAAGTGCTCAGGTGAGGGGTGGATATCAAGGCTGATTAGGTGGTTGGAGTGTTGACACACTGTGGGTGATGATTGGTGATGAGTGGTGATGAGTGGTGATGAGTGGTGATGAGTGGTGATGAGTTGTTCAGGTGCTGGTATATGGTGGGAAGCTAGCAACGAGGCAAGGTGGAGGAGATAACAGTGCGCCTGGTGCACGTGCCCACGGGGATTGCCGTCAAATGCTCAGTTGGGTGATGAGCGGTGATGAGCGATGAAGAGTGGTGAATCGTGGTGAGTGGTGATGAGTGGTGATGAATAGTTGAGGTGCTGGCACACTGTCGCAAGGTAGAGACGGCAGTGTGCATGGTGCATGTGCCCAGGGGGATCGCAGTCAAGTGCTCAGGTGAGCAGAAGGCAATGAGGTAATGGTGGTAATGAGTGGTTCAGGTGCTGGCACACAGTGGCAAGGAGGCAAGGTGGAGACAGCAGTGCACATGGTGCATGTGCCCACGGGCATTGCCGTCAAATGCTCAGGTGGGTCATGAGCGGTGATGAGTAGTGATGAGTGGTTGCAGTGCTACCGCACAGTGGCAAAGTGTAGACAGCAGTGTTCATGGTGCACGTGCCCACGGGGATTGCCATCAAATGCTCAGATAGCAATCAATAGCTCCATGCTCCCTCTGCCCACTTGCTACCCAGCGTCTCTTCCATCCTCCATCTCCCTAAACCTGTTCAGAGGAGCGGTCACAGGCGCAGAACAAGGCAAAGGCACTCGCAATGCTCAAGGCGAAGCTGCTAATTATTCTGGAGGAGCAGAGAGCGGCGGAGATAAGAGAAATCCGAGGAGACGTTGTGAAAGCGGAGTGGGGGCAGCAGATTCGGAACTATGTGCTGCATCCGTATAAGCTGGTGAAGGATTTGAGGACGGAGTATGAGACGAGCGATGTTGGAGGTGTACTGGATGGCGATTTGGATGAGTTTATGGAGAGTTATTTGCGGTGGAAGCAACAACAGCAGCAGAAGCAGGAGCAAGAGCAGCAACAGCAGCAGCACCTGGTTTGAAGCCTGGGGAACACGAGAGTGGTCTGTTGACGTGGAGCCTGATAATTAAGATAGGGTTTTATCCAGAAAATACATTTGCGTTCATTTGTACTAAGAACATGACGTTAAAATTTCTCAATTCATCCTCATATGGTGTAAGGCTGAGGCATTATCCAAGACTATTTTGATTTGTAGAGAGTTTCTTGGCGCGGACAGCTGTCAGACGCTGAGCTGACACGAACAGGCTGGAAAACGGAATATTCTTATGTCTGCCACGTCAGGCCTACCCTCAAGTGGTCCCACCTACCAGCTCCGTGACAAATATCCCTGCTCCAATTGATGCACACGTGTACCGGGTCAACACCAGCAGACGCTGATGCTGGATTCGAAGAAAACTTACGCTGGTTTCCACGGCTGCAAGTGAATTTTAGAATCTCACCAATCATAAGCCGGCCGTCTCCATCGTTGGAGATACAAAGCAAGATGTGGCGCCACGAAAGTTGCCCAGATGGAACGGACCAGCCACGGAGCAGCACCGACATGACCCATGAGTCACACACACATCTCCCCGCCACTTCACGCGAAGATGGTCGTCCATTTGCCCCATGCCATCCCATCTTCCCCCCAGCTCAGCACAGCTTACCCCCGAACCTTGAAGTCTGGCAGGAGGGGTGATGTGCTGTTCTATCCACTTGGGGTGGAAATATGCGTGGAAAGTGCTCGTCCCCGCCATTCTGGGATGCGGGGAACGCTGCGGAGCGGAACGAACACATTCGTGATCGTTTCGAGGTCGTGTGGTTTGGCGTCGCAACGACGCGTTTCGCAACATTTATTTCGCCGTGATTAGGGGGAACGATTGACGACGATCAATTCTCTTCGTAACCATCGCAAACCATGGATTTTGGCGGTCTTCCTATTTCCCTCGAGTTCTCACCACTGCACCGCCAATCCATGCCGGTCATCGCATGAAGAAGCAATTCGGTTTGGTGCTGCTGACAGAAGTCAACCGTCAGCTTCGCACAAACGTCGTCGTCAGGTCTCCCCGCTCTCGAAATCGACGTGCTGTCAAACGGTTCACTTTCCCGTCAAGCTTGCACGGAACCTGACCTGATCCCAGATCTTCCCCAACCCCCAGTCACGCAAAAAACCCTTCCCTCTCACCCCTACCACCTGAATCCTCTCTCCCCCCTCCCAGCTGGCCGAGTTTGGTGTTGACTGTACAGTGCACAGTGGGTCTCTCTGACACACACACCCTTTCCCTTTCCTGGCTGGAGTTAATGTGATTCAGTGAACTATGATAATAGCTCGTGGTTCTCAGTTCACCATACTCCTGACTTAGTTCCCTTTCCACTCTCTGCCGAGGCTCAGACCCTCGCAGTCGCCTTCCGTCAATGCAACCCATGGTTAGAGCTACTGAAGCTCGTATACCATACATTGACACCAGTATCCGTTGGCCATGGTGATTTAACAAGTCACGGCCAATTCCGAAGCATCTGTGGAACAGGAAGTCGAGGTTTCTCAAGGAGTGTGGTGATCTGCATGGAGATCACCGGGAACCGTGTGTTCTCTTCGGTCCATTCTGGCAGTCCGTTCTGGATGGTGAAATCTGCATCGCAGGAGTGGTTTCATTAACGCGCAGCGGTGGTTCGCAACCAGTTCTTCTCTGATCGAGGCATTCGAACAAGATGAATCCGGCAAGGCGGAGCAAGCGGATCTCCGATCCCGTAGAAGCATCGGTGGTTGAGCGCTTCTTCACGCACAAGGCCGTCGTCAAGCCAACAATGGCTCAGGAAGCTTCAGGCAAGACCCCACCCGCTGCTGCTCAGCAGCGTCGGCGTGTCAGTAAATCTAACGTTGTGCTTCCTGTGGTTGCTGGTCTGACGCACCCTGGTGCAGATGCCAGAGGTCCATCTACGACTGTTGCCAAGGATCCAGAGCTGGACCTTCTTTATCATGAGGATTCAATTCAGGAGTCCTCAAAAGAATCACCTGTACAGACGAAGGCTGTACAGTTCATGTCTCGCGACTCCGACGAGGAAGACGAATGGGCTGAACTAGCCATGACCGTCAAGCTGGTAAGCCTGCAGTGAACTTGGTTTGCTCGCTAGTGTTGAAACTTTAAACATTGGTTAATTCCAGAGTCTAATTATTTGTTTTTTCGTACATGCAGTGCCTTGCGACCGCTGCTCCCTCGGAGAAACTACTGGAAGAGCACGTGAAGCTGGTGATGGAATCACCGAAGTCCGGAATTCAAATTCCCACTAATCCTGAAAGTGTTCTCTCACAAGCCCCCACTAGCGTCTCTTCAACTGATTCGCCTCCTGCTTATTATTCTCCGTCGTCGTCGCCTCCGCGTGACGCGACTGCTGCCAATCGCATGAAGGTCGCTGCTAGCCTTGCAGCCTCTCGCCGTCATGACGTCATGCTGTGTCATGCTGCGTGGCCAACCACTCAAGAGGCTCCTTCCGGAGAATACGACTTTTTGGAGATTTCCATGGCGTCGAGCGCAAGGGGATCGGGATCTGGAGGTTCTCCCACATCTGTTCTGGACGGTTCTCCATTCAAGCCTTCCAACTGGCACAGCAGGAAACCGGAGGGATCACTGCGCTCTCTCAATAATCAGCCACGTCATCAGGAGCAGAAGCAGCAATACCAGCAGCAGTCGGCTGCACAGTGGCCGACGCCTTCCGCGCTGCTTCCCGCGCAGCCGTGCCTGCTGTTGCCATCTCAGCGTGTGGTTGTGGATGTGTCCTTCAGGCAGCAGTTTGAAGTGGCTCGCCCGACCCCTCGTTATGCCGAACTTCTCTCTCAGCTTCCCTCCGTGTTTGTCGGCGGACGTCAGCGGCTCAAACCCCTTGTCACTGCCCTGGCTACCGCCATGAACCTGTCACTCCAAAGCAGTGGAATCGCGATAGCTCCCTGGCGCCGAACTAAGTATCTCTTAAGCAAGTGGTTCCCCACAACGGATGCTGGAACTGCTATCCCTGAGGCTCGCACCCAGATCCTACCAGAGATGGTGGCGGGAGACCTTCCTACCCCTGTGGCAGCCGCGCCTACGAACCTGCCACTCGCAACGACTGCTGAATTGGTTGCTGCTGCGGCCATGAAAGCTGCCGACGCCTTACCTGGCTTTTTAGCAATGCCTGTAGCTGCTGGTGTGGCGAACGACACATGCCAGAATGGCGAGAAGGGTCTTGGCAAAGCTGGAAGCAACAAGGTTCCTCGGGTAGTGACTGACAGCCTGGCAGAGATGTCTCAGCTGCAGCTGCTGGCAAGCAAGGAGGTACTCAAGTGCTGCCATTACCACAATCTGGCACACCAGAAGAATACCAATGTCCCTTCAGCTGCTGCTGGTGCCACTGGTGCTGCTGGTGTGGTAGGGTTTGCTGTTGATGACTGGAAGCCTCCCGCAGTGGCTACCAAGCGTCGACCTGCTTGCAGGGAGGGCTGTCTGTCCCTCTGCATGCGCCTTCAGGAGGGGGAGGAGGGGGAGGTGTATTGAGTGCTAAGCTTATAGATTCTTAAGTTGCCGGCTGGCTTCCTTTGTGTACATGCTTATGTTCTAACCTGTAGTTAGCTGTGATGACCTCATACCTACCAGCCATAGAATTTGGATGGAGGCAAATTTTGTATTCCCGTTATTCATCTGACCAACATTGTTTGTACCCGCACCCGAGACTGGATTGAATAATCTAGCAGGAACTTGGCATGAGTGAAGAACATGGCAATGAGCTAGAACATTATTTTCTGTAAAAAGAAATCAACTAAAACACTACGTTCTACGAATATACCCTGCTTTTATCGCATCCCTGCTTTTATCAGAGCTCGCCAAATTGTTGGGGACTGAACGGGAGTTCCCAAAGAGCTATGATTTCCGCGTCTGGTCTGGTTTGGTGGCGGGAGCGGCTGTGGCCCGAGTCAATTTAGGACGCAGCATGAAGTCCGTCTCTGTCGCGCTCGCCGAAGCTGTGGGGCGGCGGTTCCAGTGTTCACGAACCACAATGAGGGAACGGCGACATTCTCGAGCAGCCTCGACTTCCGTCCATTTTCACCCCGCCATCCAATCAACAGCTAGTAGGACTTGTCTTTTCGTTGACGAACCTAGTTTATGGCCAGCGGGCGTGTTTAGCGGAAACGCGACCCGTAAACATTTGCGGGCAGCGACACCTGAGCTTGCTGCCCAGAAACTCCTCGATTGCAGTTGCGCGAGTCGCAATGTTGTCCTTCCGACAGCTCCGAGCTTCTAGGTTCCGGGGACTCGGACAGCTCGTATTGGTTGGCTAGACCTCTCTTGCTCTCGGATCCAATCACAGAGCTGTGTCAGAACACTTTTTGGAGTGTTTTTTTCCACGTCGGGCAGCATGCTTGCTTCCTCCCCAGCCTCGAGAGTTTCGAGTCTCCACCCGAGCTCCATCCACTCTTCCTTGCAACCTCCTCCCTTACCTAACACTAGAAAGCCCACCCGTTCGCCTCATTCCCACCACCACATCAGTTGCAAGTTTCATTCTAACTCCGAAGGCTGACCTTCTAGCTCCACGAGACTTCAGCTCCTAGCCTCGCCACTCGTTCCGCCTGTGCGATTAGCCTGTCGCTCCTAGTGCGATGGCATCTCTGACCACCCCGTCGCTTGTTGGATCCGCGAGCCGTGCCGTGAACGCCGCGGCGTGCAGCAGCAGCAGCGTGATGTCCACTCGCCGTGCTAACATCGTGAAGATGTGGCGGCGCGCGATTGCATGGCGCGTGGGGCGCTTCAGCGAGAAAGAGCAGTGCGCTCTGCGCTCCCCCCGTGCGTCGCTCGGCTTCTCCCCTCTGCGACCCAAGCCTGTGGCTAAGCCGCCCAGCAAGAAGCCCAGGCCCAGGGATGTGATGGGTACCGCTGCTGCTGTGAAGCCCAGAGCGGTGCAGAGCGGTCAAGCGACCGTCACAGCTGCAGCAGTCAAAGCCACGCCGGCTAAGGCGACGCCAACAAAGGCGTCGCCAGCTAAGGCGACGCCAGCCAAAGTGACGCCAGCTAAGGTGACGCCAGCCAAGGCGACGCCAGCTAAGCCGACGCCAGCCAAAGTGACACCAGCTAAGGTGTTGCCAGCTAAGGTGACGCCAAGTAAGGCGGCGCCAGCTAAGGTGACGCCAACTAAGGCGACGCCAGCTAAGGCGGCGCCAGCCAAGGCGACTGTTGCAGGAGGTGTGAAGGTTCCAGGTGCAAGCAGCCCAGCAGCAGCACCAGCAGTACCAGCTGCAGCGGGTCCCCACAGCCCGAAGGCGGGTGTTGTTGGCGCAAGTGGAATCCCGAGACCAGCAAGCAATGCGACACCAAGGAGGGCCGTAGTAGGAGTGACGTCAAGTGGTATTCCCAAGCCAGGAAAGGTAACAACCAAGTGAGAGAGTGCAAAAAAAACAAAAACAAAAACACAGCAGCAGCAGATGAGATCTGGGGCGTGTCCAATGGGGATGTGAGGGGACGAGTGTGGTGGGTGAGATGGCATGGCTGGTGGGGGCTAGAGGGAGGCGCATGGAGGGAACTGCCCCTTTTTCCACCCTGCTTGCAGGGTGTTGTGGGAGAGATGGGAGGAGAGGTGGAGGAATGTGGTGAGCTGGAATGGGGATGCATGGCATGAGGGGGAAGAGCATGGCCTTGGATCCGCTGCTGCAGCACACATGCACATGCTTAGCTCTTGAATAGTAAAAATTTCTAGATAGTTCTATATCGTGTTCTAGATTAGGAATGTGTAATCATTGATGCTATATTTATATTTATGATGTTTATGTGCATTCTGTGGTTGTGTGTTGTGACTGAGTGGTGTATGGAAGGGAGGAATGGTTGGTGGGTGTATTGGTGTGGCAAGGAATGCTCATTGTCACATGGTCAATGGTAGTATTTTCTCGTTTCTCTCCCTCCTATCATCTCTTTGAGTTTATAACCATGCGTATGATTACGTTTAACCAGGATTTGGTTTCTTCCAGTCGTATCATCATGGTGAGTACTTCAGTTTGGTGAGTATCTCGCACCTGTTTTATTCCAGTTTCAGTTTCATTGTCTTTCCAGTTCAGGTCCTCATGCTTTCATTTCATCTCTCTTCCCAGTTTTATCAGCTTGTAACTCGTTCCCTGTCTCATTCCGATTGAATCGGCTCAAGATTCTTTCAGACTAGCATGTCATTCACGTTTCATAAAACTTTCAGTGGTTAATGTTAGTCTCATTCAATCATGAGCCATTGCAATCTACAGTTCCCCCCCCTCTGTTGTCTCCTTAGAATAGCATATCACCATCTACACGCATCCCTCCCCCTTTCCTCTCCTCCCATCCCTCTGAAACGTGAACAGTGAAGATGGTTAAAGCTGTAAGGTATCCAGCTGTGTTTTCCTTTCCGGCTGTCAGTTTGCGTTGAGTTTTTCATGCAAGTCTTACCAGCTCATCACTCTTGTACCCGGTCATTACCGTTTCATTAGCTCATCATTTATTGCTCACATGAGCTCATGATGGTTTCAGTGGCTTGTGCCAGTTTCATCTCATCATGTTGCTGTGAGGGAGTGGTATCTGGGTGGGAGAGAGGGATGGCCGGTGGGAGTGCTCTGATTTGAGAGGATTTATGGTACTACGTACTTGCCATGTTTGCGCGTTTTCTGAGCAAAAACGAAAATTCCTCTTCTATCCTCTTCCCCTTCCCTCATACCTATCCATATTGCTTCCCACTCCCATCCCCTTTTTCTCCCCACTCCGTTTGTCAACTAAGGATTAGCCATGACAGATGCTGTGAGGTGAGCAGCCTCAATCGCACCAAATGATTGATCTTAGCATCTCATGCGACTGGCATCCACTCATGCTACATTCAAAATCTCATGCCATTCACCAGCACCTGTTCTTTCTGAAAGCTCATGCCGATTTCATCATTTTTCATTAATTTCAGGATCCCATGTCAATGTCCTTAGCATGTGTTCTCTCAGGTATCTCATGCCAATGTCATCTTGCAATGATCAAAAGATTCCTTGTCAAGATCCTAAGAACATTGTGCTTTCAGGTATCTCACTCCCAGTTCACCATCTTACTGTGCTATCATGATCCCTTGCCAGTCTCCTTGCCACATTAGCCTTTCAGGTACGGTATCTCTTCCCAATGTCATCATCTTATGCTGCGATCGGTCCCTTGTCAATCTCCTCGCCACATGATCCATTCAGGTATCTCGCATGCCTGTTTCATCACCTTACAATGGTTTCATGATCCCTTGTCCATTTCCTCACCACTGATGCTTTCAGCAGCGGTTTATGTCAATTGCGTTGGTGCACTGTGGTTCAAATAATTCTTGTCCATTTCCCCTCTTCGTGATGCTTTCACTAGCTGACGCCAGCTTGTCATCGTGCTCATGATACCGTAGTTTTATTATTGATGCCAATCCTATCAACTAAGCACATCATTCATATCTGCATCCTTCAATGTGTAAAAACTAGTGCCCTTGTATACATACACTGCACATCAATGGAATCTGATTAATTGAATAAATTTATATATTCAGAAGAATACCGCAAGCCATCTCAGTGAGACACAAATGCTACATGTCCTCACAAAAACCACAAGTCCTGATAAACGAGAGCCTGACAAAGCACATGATTCACAGTGCGCTAAGGCTCTCTCCACTCCAATCTCCTCTACCTCTGGTACCACCTCCACCAGCTCCTCCCCATCATCCTCTCCCTTATACGGATTCTGCGATCACATGACGTGAGTCACAGAGCACTGAGGCTCTCCTCTATCTCCTCCACCTCTGGATCTACCTCCACTAGCTCCTCCTCTTCCTCCTCCCCCTCGTACACAAACGACAGCATCCCATCCTCCTCCCCTTCCACCACAACACCACCACCACCACCCTCCACTCCCTCTCCCTTCTCCCCCTCTCCATCCGCAACCCCTTCCTTTTCCACCTCGCCCCGGCTACCCCCCTCCCCAGTCCCCTCCGTAGCCTCTTCGAGAGAGGGGATTTCGAGAGGAGATGGGTCAGAAGTAGAGGGGGAGGGGGAGTGGGAGGAAGAGGAGGAGGTGGGGAACTGGTGGCAGTTGATGAAGTGGATGGGCTGTCGTACCGTGCGGAAGAGGCTGGGGCAGCAGGAAAGGTGGGGGTGGGGAGGATGTGCGGAAAATGAATGAGAGCAGTTGTTAGGAAAGGTTTGAGCCAATCCGAAAACACCTCCACAGGGTAACTGGTGGCAGTTGATGAAGTGGATGGGCTGCCTCACCGTGCGGAAGAGGCTGGGAAAGGAAAAAAGGGGGGAAGAAAAAAAGGGGTAAAAGAGGGAGCGAAGCTTTAGTAAATTAGAAAAACATCCCCGCAGGGGAACTGGTGACAGTTGATGAAGTGGATGGGCTGCCTCAGTGTGCGGAAGAGGCTGCGGGAGGAAGAAGAGAGGGGGGAGAGGGGGGGAGGAATGGGCGGAAGACGGGCAAGTGTGTAATTGAGGCGCCTCAAAACAGGACTCGTGGCAGTTGATGACGTGCATGCGCTGCCGCACCTGTTTTTATGGTATTCTCCAAAAGAAAAATTCCGCTCCGTGCGGAAGGAAGAGGCTGGCAGAGCAAATTGGTGCGCAGGCAGAGCCAGGTAGTATTCACACAGCGGTGACTTGAGCCCTGAAGCTAGAAACCACAATCCAACCTACTACAAACAAACCAGCAAAGCAGCCCAAGTGGGTATTGCAGCCGTGAAGCTCACTCAGCCTACAGGTGCCCCCCCTCCCTATTACAAACTAACCAGCCCAACAACCCAAGTGGGGACGTACGGATGTGAGCAGAGCAGGTTGGTGTGCAGAGCAAGCTCGTATTCACACGTGGTGCATACGGCCTACACCCCTGAAGCCACCACAACCTACGCTACAAGCTACCCTACAGCCTACACCCCACCCCAACCCAGAAGAACGTACGGGTGGGAGCAGAGCAGGTTGGTGTGCAGAGCAAGCTCGTATTCACACATGGTGCATACGGCCTACACCCCTGAAGCCACCACAACCTACGCTACAAGCTACCCTACAGCCTACACCCCACCCCAACCCAGAAGAACGTACGGGTGGGAGCAGAGCAGGTTGGTGTGCAAAGCTAGCTCGTATTCATGCGTGGTGGTTGCATCCCTGAAGCCACAACCTTCACTACACGCCAGCCTAGAGCCTACACCCCAGCCCAGCAGCCCAAGTGGTGAACGTACGGGTGCAAGCTCGTATTCACACGTGGTGACATCAGCCCAAGAGCTTCAACCTTTTGAGAATTCTCAAAAGTGATTTCAATAGAGCTACAACCTACATGCCAACCAACCTTCAACGCAGCCTGCAACCAGCAAACAGGCTTAGAACCACAAGTAGTGCACCTACGGGTGGGAGCAGAGCAGGTTGGTGTGCATAGCTAGCTCGTATTCACACGTGGTGGTTGCATCCCTGAAGCCACAACCTTCACTACACGCCAACCCACAGCCTTCATCCCAGCCCAGCAGCCCAGGTGGTGAACGTACGGGTGGGAGCAGAGCAGGTTGGTGTGCAGTGCCAGCTCGTATTCACACGTGGGTCCCTCCTTGATTGTCCCCATGAAAGTCTGCGCGCCCTCCTCACACACGTGCCGCACCTGAGGGATGAGAGCACGAGGGGAGCAATGAGGAGACCGGGGGACGAGGGAATGTAGAGTGGCAAGGATATGAAGGAGTTGAAAGGCGTGTAGAGTGGTCAGGGGTTAGAGTTGACCCAAAGAACGTCTGTGCGCCCTTCACACACGACATGACAACCTTGTCACTACAGCATGCTCACCGTACCTCACACCTCCCCACCCCTGCATGTCCCTCTCCACACATGCGCACACCTCCCCACCCAGTCATTTAACACACCACCCACTCACACACCTACCCACCCATTCACTTACCTCCCCACCCGTCCCCTTTAATCCCCACTCATACCTCCCCACCCATCCACTTACCTTCCCACCCATTCACTTACCTCCCCACCCATTCACTTACCTCCCCACCCATTCACTTACCTCCCCACCCATTCACTTACCTCCCCACCCATTCACTTACCTTCCCACCCATCCACTTACCTCCCCACCCATTTACGCACCTCGGTGCGACGGCCAGCGCCAGTGAGGTCGCAGGCTGTACCATTGGTGTACACATGCACGTGGTACCTGATCGGGGGTGGGGGAGAGAGAGGGGAAGGGAGAGGGGGGGAGGGGATGGGGGGCAAAGCATTACAGCACACATAACACCCAGCGCCAGTGAGGTCGCAGGCTGTGCCATTGGTGTAAACATGCATGTGGTACCTGTAGAGGTGGGGAGGGGTTGATGGGTGGGGCAAAGCAGTCCCACACAGCAATCGATTTGAAAATTCTAGGCACCAGTGAGGTCACAGGCTGTACCATTGGTGTATACATGCACGTGGTACCTGATGGGGGGGAAGGGAGAGGGGGGGAGAGGGAGGCAGAGGGGGGGGGGGGAAGAGGGGATGGGATGGGGAGTAAAGCATCACAGTAGTCATCACATTGGTGGGGTCGCAGGCAGTGCCAGTGAGGTCGCAGGCAGTGCCAGTGAGGTCGCAGGCAGTGCCAGTGAGGTCGCAGGCAGTGCCAGTGAGGTCGCAGGCAGTGCCAGTGAGGTCGCAGGCAGTGACAGTGGTGTAGACATTCACGTGGGGAGAGGGAAAAGATGGGGGGTGGAGGGAGGTTGGGGGGGTAAACAGCTCACACACGCTGGGTAAACAGCCGAGTCAAGACATGCTGCCCGCCCCCACACGCTCACCTCTTTCCCCCATCGCCGCCACCAGCAGCAGCAGTCGCTTCAAGCCTCCTCTGTGCGCGCAGTGACTCGCGTGCGCTGTAGCGCCCCAGGACAAAGTCCATGGTCACCTTGTTCTCGCCCTCCTGCTGCTCGATGTGCATCTGGCGAATGTGCTTCTTGTAGCAAAACTCGTACGTCCACCACCCGTCTTGCTGCACACAATTGGGTCCAGGGGAGAGGGGTCAGGGGGAGGGGAAGGCAGGTGCGGAAGGGAGAGGGAAAGCAGTGACTGTGAGGTGCCTCAAAAGCTGCTCACTTCGATGTGCATCTGGCGAATGTGCTTCTTGTAGCAAAACTCATAACGTCCACCACCCGTCTTGCCGCACAGATTGATTGAGGCAGGAGAGGAGAGGGAAGGCAGAGGGGAGGTGCGGAGGGGGGAGGGAAAGCAGTGATATGTGAGGCGCCTCAAGAGGTGCTCGATGTGCATCTGGCGAATGTGCTTCTTGTAGCAAAACTCATACGTCCACCACCCGTCTTGCTGCACACGCATTCGGAGAAAGGGGGGGAGGAAGGAAGGGGAAGGGGGAATAGGGGCAGAGGAGAGGTGCGGAAGGGAGAGGAAAGGCAGTGACGTTCAAGGTGCCTCAAAAGCAGCTCACATCGATTCGATGTGCATCTGCCTCGGGCAAGCATTCTAAGGCGCCTTCAACACAACTCATACGTCCACCGCCCATCTTGCTGCTTCGATTGGGGGGAAGGGAGGCATTGGAGAGTGGCGGAGGGAAAAGGGAGGGCAGGAGAAGGCTGCTGACTACGCTTCACCCTATGCTTTGATATCACCATACAGTATAGTGTGTAACCATGTACCCCATACAAACTGACCCGGTAGAAGCACGGCAGCCCCTTCATCGCACCTAGCAGCCCCCCCGGGCTCTTCCGGCTCTCCCCAAACGCCACTCCTGGTGTGTCAGTAACTTGTGGGTCGGCCCAAAACACAGCTTACAAGTTACACGTACCCGGTAGAAGCAAGGCAGGCCCTTCATGGCATCTAGCAGGTCTTCAGGACTCTTCCGGCTCTCCCCAAACGCCACTCCTGGTGTGTTGTGAGTCGACCCAAAGCACAGGGAATACGCACCCGGTAAAAACAGGGTAACCCCTTCATGGCGTCCAGCAGGTCTTCCGGACTCTTCCGGCTCTCCCCAAACGCCACTCCTGCTGCCCCGCCCTTCCCCCCGGCCCCTTCTGCCCCTCCCCCGCCAGCACCAGGAGAGGCCAAGGAGGAGAGCGTGGGTGGGGGGAGGATGCAGCGGTAGCGTGTGCCGTCACTGGCAGTCATCTCAACCGACTCTAGACCCGGTTCCTGATAAGTAATGTGACAGAGGGAAGGCACGGGAGGGAGGATGGCATGGGGAGAGTTTGATTCTGGTCCTCCAGAGGAGAGAGCGTGGGCGGAGGGAGGATGCAGCGGTAGCGCGTGCCGTCACTGGCGGTCATCTCAACCGACTCTAGACCCGGTTCCTGATAGGGCAAGAGGGGATGGAACGGGGTGAGGCTAGTTTCGAGGCGCCTCACGAATAGAGTGTGGACAGGCGGAGGATGCAGCGGTAGCGTGTGCCGTCACTGGCAGTCATCTCAACCGACTCTAGACCCGGTTCCTGATAAGTAATGTGACAGGGGGAAGGCACGGGAGGGAGGATGGCATGGGTAGGAGAATGCAGCGATAGCGTGTGCCGTCACTGGCAGTCATCTCAACCGACTCTAGTCCCGGTTCCTGATAAGTAATGTGACAGGGGGAAGGCACGGGAGGGAGGATGGCATGGGGAGGAGAATGCAGCGATAGCGTGTGCCGTCACTGGCAGTCATCTCAACCGACTCTAGTCCCGGTTCCTGATAAGTAATGTGACAGGGGGAAGGCACGGGAGGGAGGATGGCATGGGGAGGAGAATGCAGCGATAGCGTGTGCCGTCACTGGCAGTCATCTCAACCGACTCTAGACCCGGTGGGAGGCAACCGACTAGTTCCTGATGGGAGTGAGGGGACAAGGGAGGCAAGGGAGGGTGGGCCTATTTTTGAGTCGACTCAAAAACCACCGACTAGTTCCTGATGGGAGTGATGGGACAAGGGAGGCAAGGGAGGGTGGGCCTATTTTTGAGTCGACTCAAAAACCACCGACTAGTTCCTGATGGGAGTGATGGGACAAGGGAGGCAAGGGAGGGTGGAACGGGGAGAATAGTTTTGAAGCACGTGATAAACAGAGCGTGGGAGGGGTAGGATGCAGCGATAGCGCGAGCCGTCACTGGCAGTCAGTTCAACCAACTCTAGACAGGGCTCCTGATAGGGCTCCTGATAAGGCTCCTGATAGGGCTCCTGATAGGGCTCCTGATAAGGCTCCTGATAGGGCTCCTGATAGGGCTCCTGATAGGGCTCCTGATAGGGCTCCTGATAGGGCTCCTGATAGGGCTCCTGATAGGGCTCCTGATAGGGCTCCTGATAGGCCTCCTGATAGAGCTCCTGATAGGGCAAGGGAGGATGGAATGGAACAGGGGTGAGACTAGTGTCGAGGCGCCTCACGAATTGAGTGTGGACAGGCAGAGGATGCAAACGCAGCGATGCAGTCACATCCCATCCCACCCCACCCTACCCCACCCCACCCCACCCCACCCCAACACACCCCACCCCATCCCACCCCACCCCACACCACCCCATCCCATCCCACCCCATCCCATACCATCCCTCCCATACCATCCCTCCCACCCCTCCCATCCCACCCCACACCACCCCATCCCATCCCATCCCATCCCATCCCATCCCATCCCATCCCATCCCATCCCATGCCATCCCAACCCATCCCCATTCCTTTTAACCCATAATGTGCTTCTTCACCACCTCTCCCACGCCACGCCCTCCCCAGTGAACCCGCGCTCACGTCAACTGGCAGGGAGGCAGGCGTGGGGTGTCCTTTTCCACCTGTCATGTACTTTCAATCAACTCATCATGCGTTTTCCCACCACCAGCACACACTCGCTCCCCAGTGAACCTTCACTCACGTCAACTGGCAGGGAGGCAGGCGTGGGGTGTGAGGCGGCGGGAGAGGAGGATGGAGTGGAGGGGGTGGAGGGGGTGGAGGGGGGAGGCCAGAAGACGACCGAGAGTTTGGGCTGCTTGCTGTCGGCAGGGAAGGTCATTTGACCTGCAGTGACGCGACGGGAATGGGGCAGACAGAGAAGATAGGTAACAGGGACAGAGGAGGAGAAGTGGGGAGATAGGTCACAGGCAGAGCAGATAGGTCACAGGAACAGAGGAGGAGGGAGAGTATTAGTCGAGTCTACACGCAGTGAGCCCCTGTGTTTGCTGCCTCTGTGGAGGTTGCTGCTATCGGGGATGTAAGAAGTGACTTGTATTGAAGGCGGATAAGGACAAAACGGTTCGCCTCAAGGTGACTTTTGAGTCTGCTCAAAAGTCACTAAAAAGTGACTTGGATTGAAGGCGGATAAGGATAAAACGGTTCGCCTCAACGCTTTGGAGAGGGGAGGAAGGGAACATCAGCTTCGGCTTCCTGCTTTGGAGAGTAATCTCGAGAATTTTCAAAAGGCACCGCAGCGAGCGAGCTAAGTTACGAGTCGACTCATAAGACAGACAACGTGCGAACGCGCGAGAGAGCAACCCGGCGAGCAACGCGCGAGCGAGCGGCCCTGTGATAGGCAACGCGCGAGCGAGCGAGCGAGCGAGCGAGCGTACCGACGCGCGAGCCGAAGATGAGGTCCGCCATGACGCCGCGGGACGGTAACACGGCCATCATCGCGGTCACGATGGTAACCAGCGCCGCGAAAGCGCTGCGTTTCGCCATCTCGATCACGGCCCGACGTCTGGAAGTCCCTGAAACGTGGAAGCGACAGGAAACTAGGACCTCGTGTGGACGTTCTGGAAGAGTGGAAGCGCCTCGACGTGCAATGGTTGGAACGGTCGAGTCGAAACAAGAGCATCTGTCAATCTGGAATTTCTATCGTTGGAGCTCAGATGTCACTTTTCCTGAAACTGCTCCGATAACATTACCATTATTTGTATCATCATACATACAGTAGTTGAGAGCTGTGTAATTTGGAGTAGAAGTACTCGAATTTGGCTGTTAGATAATGAATCAAACAAAATAAGACAAGGAAAAACAAACAAACAAACAATTGGCAGAATGTACGATGATCCAGTAACTAGCATGGGATGTGGATGTTGTCCCAATTGGACATGTCACGTGTGAAAGAGCTTGGATGCTATATACTTGGATGCTGGAAGCAGGCTCATGCCTTAGCACTGAACATCGCTTTGCCCCCAAAACAGCTCACTCCTGCTGTGTGTGTCTTTTTACCAGCCTCCTTTGTCTCTCACACCGACATGGCTTCACGGATTGACGTGAAGGCACCATGGAGTGATGTTGCTGTATTGCAATGCTGAACACAACACGAGATATTGATATTGGTAACTATGCCAGAGGCATAAGAAAAAGGACAGAGGGAGCAAGCGAGGGATGAGAATGAAGTGATATGGAGGGTAACCAGACGAGGGGGATTCTGAAGGTTGACTGGTTGAGAAGGGAAAAGAAGTGAAAGGGCAGGAAAGAGGGGAATAGAAAAGGTAGAGCAGGAGGCAGAGCGGGAGGCACTGAAATCATGAGCGTTGACAGGCAACAGGGACGGGTTTGAAATAGAAATGCCTTTCTATGCAGAAAATCACGTGGAGAAGATAAGAGACGACATGAGAGATATCGAGAATGAAGCACATCAATGGCAAGGCAATAGCTGGTGAGGTTCACTGCTAATGGGAAGAACAGTGAACATCAGCATTTCCCACACTGCCACTCACCTCAACTCTTCCACTGCTCCCTTCGCCCCTCCTGTGCCTGAAAAACACACCACCAGCCGTTACTCCCATGCACAGCGTCATGACGAGGTGGTATCAGCATGCGCGGCTGAAGAGCTCATGAGCAGTCGATGTTAATGAAATGGTACAATCGTCATGAGCTAATAAGACTCCCATGAACAACGGAAACCATAAAATTATGAGCAGTAAGGTAGGCATCACAAATTGCCAGTAAAACAAGAAAACAGAACAGAACAAAAAGATAGGTGAAAGACATGGGATAACATCGGTGGGTTGCTTCAAGCATTAGTTCTCTTCGAGTATCAGAGACATGAAGAGAGAGGGGTGGGAGTACGCTTCAAGAGAGAAGACATGTTTGGAGAGGGATTGGAGAATGCTCTGAACTCATGATGTGATGAAATCAGCATTAGCCACTGAAAGAACCATGAACATATGCAAATGGCATGACGGATTGACGAGCTGATGAAATCGGAATGGGACATTGAACGCATAATGTGCTGGTCAGGCTGCCATGAGAAAGTGAAAGCATGATAACGTCAGCTGGAAAACCTTGCATGAAATGGTGAAAGCATCAGGAGGCAATGATACTGTCATGAGCAACTCATAAAGCAGCACATACTGATAAAATGGAAAATTGGAAGTCATGGGTGGAATTAAACATCATATACTATTCAACTGAAAGGATAGTGGGGTAATGGGACTAGGTGGAGATATGGCGGGATAAGAGATAATGGAAGAGATGCAGGAAAACACTGTAGAATACCATCGCTGACCAAGGCAGCATCACCAATCCCCTTGAATCACACAGACTGAATCAGCACCATTCAGTGGCTTCTACCCCATCTCCTCCACCCAAATACACCCAACCAGCCACTCCGCCCTACCATGCACCACTCCCACTCAACACACAAACACGAAGAGCACATGAACAGCAATAACATAAATATAGCATCAACAATTACAACCACTGAACTGAACCTATGACTTAATCTATAACAATATAGAACTTTCTACTATTCATGAGCCAAGCAGGTGCATGGTGCAGCAACAGATGGCACAGACAGCAGCATGAGCATTCCCCTTGAATCACACAACCAGCATGAGCATTAAGATCCAAGGGCATGCCATTCCACCTCATGCCATGCCTCCCCATTCCAGCTCACCACATTCCTCCACCACTCCTCCCATCTCTCCCACAACACTCTGCAAGCAGGGTGGAAAAAGGGGTAAGTCCCTCCATGCACCTCCCTCTAGCCCCCACCAGCCATGCCATCTCACCCACCACACTCGTACCCTCACATTCCCATTGAAGAGGCCGCGGATCTCATCTGGTGTTTTTTTTTTTTTTTTTTTTTTTTAACCACACATTTACTTGACTGCTACCTTCCCTGGCTTGGGAATACCACTTGTTGTCGCTCCTGCTGCGGGCCTCCTCGTTGCCGCACTGCTTACAGGTCTCGAGATTCCAGACCCGCCAGCAAGGCCTACCTTCGGGCTGTGGGGAGCTGAAGTGGCTGGTGCTGCTGCTGCTGCTGGGCTGCTTGCACCTGCAGCTTTCACACCGACCGCGACAGTAGGACTTGCACGTGACGCCTTAGCTGGTGGCATCACCTTAGCTGGCGTCACCTTCGCTGGCGACGCCTTAGCTGGCAGCACCTTAGCTGGCAGCACCTTAGCTTGCGTCGCCTTAGCTTGCGTCGCCTTAGCTTGCGTCGCCTTGGCTGGCGTCGCCTTGGCTGGCGTCGCCTTGGCTGGCGTCGCCTTGGCCAGCGTCGCCTTAGCTTGCGTCGCCTTTACTGGCGTCGCCTTGACTGGCGTGGCTTTCGCTGCTACAGCTGCGACGGTCGCTTGACCGCTGTGCACCGCTCTCGGCTTCACAGTAGCGGCGGTACCCATCACATCCCTGGGCCTGGGCTTCTTGCTGGGCGGCTTAGCCACGGGCGGTCGCAGAGGGGAGAAGCCGAGCGACGCACGGGGGGAGCGCATAGCACACTGCTCTACCTCGTTAAAGCGTCCCACGCGCACTGCAATCGCGTGCCGCCACATCTTCAAGATGTTAGCGCGGTGCGCAGATCCAGCAAGAGACGGGGGGATCCGAGATGCCATAGCGGTAGGGTAATCGCACAGGAAAAACGAGAGGCGAAGATAAAACCTGAAGCTGATCGAAGGAGCTAGAAGCGGAGTCGAAGAAATATTGAGATTGCAATTGCTGTGGTGGTGGAAATGGCGAGGACAGGAGGACTTTGTAAAGTTCGGAAGGGAGGTTCTAAGGCGGAGGGAAGGGTGGATAAAGCTCGACTGGCGAAGAGCAACTCTCGAGGCTCCGGAGGAGGCAAGCCCGCTGCCCGAACCGAGAAGATCAAACACTCCGAAACATATGGTCGTGGGGATGATCTGCTTTGGTTCGGTTGGAGCCTAACCTTCGGAGGCTTGGGAGCGGAACTTCGATGTTGAGGGACAACAGCAGCGACTCTTTCGCTTCGGACGACGAGAATTCGGGGCAGCGAAAAACAATCTCGAGTCGCATTTCCGCTAAAGGGGTCTGCTGGATGATGGGTGAACTTGACGGACTTGCCGTCGTGAGATTAGACCAAGGCTGCTCAAAGAATGGTTCCGTTCCGTCATCGTCAATAGAGTGCAAAAGTCGCCGCATAGCGGCGGAGGGCAAACACAACTGTGTCGTATGGTGACTGAAGGAAACGCGCCTCGCAAGCTTGTTACTAGTAAACTGCTCCCGAGGAACTAGGGTTCCGTCTGACATCCCAAACTAGCCCACCAAGAATGGCGCGAAGGTGAACAGAAAAGCTAGATGCGATAATTGCAGATTCATTAACCGTGAAGCTTGTGTAATTTCATACGCCTTCAAACCTTTTTTATTTACACTAGCATTCTTATCGAGTCTGTTGTTCTCATCATAGCTCTACGATATTTAAATGTTGTGGGAATACAATCTCTCATGAAATGCTGAAAGTATCATGAGCAGGCAAACTTGGAATATATACTGAAACCATCAGGCACTGATTGAACTGGCATGAAGTGTTGCTGCAAACATTATGAGCTTGTCAAATTGGAAGGAAATACCGGATAGGCTTGTGACTTGATGACATTGGCAAGAACTGGAAAAGCATGCGGAGCAGATGAATGTGACATGAGATGCTGAACACATTAGGTAGGAGCTGCTGAAACTCACATGAGACGACGCGATGATGAGGCTGACAAGAGCTACAAAAAGAATCAGGGAATGATGAAAGACATGGTGAGATAACAAGTACGTAGTATCAGACACTGAAAACAGCATTTGCTGGTGGAATTGGGCATGAAACGCTAAAATCACTGATACCTTCAACAAAATGACATACGCTGTTGATACTGACATACGATCCTGAAAACATCTTGATCTCCTGAAACTAGCATGAAATACTGAAAGTATCATGCATGAGCTTTTGAATTTGGCATACAATACCAGTTAAATATGCATTTTGTTTCCGTCATAAGGGACTGCCGTTGCTGTGAAAATGGTGTGGACAACCAGATGCGCTGACAGCATCACTGCTGGCTGATTTTCAGATGATTGGAAGAGGGAGTGAAGGTTGAAAAGGGCAGAGAGGAAGGCAACACGACAAAACAAAACTGCTTACAGCATCACCAATGGCCAACCGTCGGATAGTTAGGGAAGCGGTCTGAGGAAGCAAGCAGGGATGGGAGTTCGGAGAAATATTGATAATCATACAAGTTCCTGGATTTTCTCAAATCAGTGCAGTTAGGCATCAAGAGGGGATTTTGAAACATGTACCATTATGAAGAGGTGAAGAGTGATGAAAGCTGATTGGTAGCGAAAGGAAAGGAAGTTGAGAGAACAGGAAGGAGTGGAGATGTGAACAGAGAGGGGAAAAGAGAAACGAAACTTGAGAAGAGCAGGGGGGGAGGCACTAGATCTATGACCACTGACCGACAGGCACAGGGCAACACAGAACATAATTCATCCCAAAGCAGACGTAATATTCACTGAAGCTGAATATAATAGAATCAAAAGGCGTCAAAGAGAGGACATCAGCTGATGAGATTCATTACCAGTGCCTGAAGGATTCCAGCTAAGGAGCGGATGATGAGCTAATGAAAGGGACATGTCAGGGTGAAGGATAGATGAGCTGAGAACTGTCGTATGAGAATCTTAAAGCATCATGATATGACCTGAGAATGGATTGGCAAGAAATCATGAAAGCATCAGGAGCTGATGAATCTGGCGTGCGATGCAGCATCATATGCTAAAAGAAAAGCACGTACAGAAACATACAATATCAACAACTTTAGCTGATGTGAAAATGTTGGAGTTTTTTGTGGTCCCTTCAACCATTACCAGTGTTGAAGTTTCAGCGAGGTGAGAGAAGCTGAGGGAGGGGGATACAAAGTATGGAGAGAGAGAAAGAGAGAGGGACAGTAGAATGCTATGAGCTCATGCTCAAATGAGACTAGCATGAACAACTGAAAGAATCAGGAGCTGATGCAGATGGCATGAAATATTGCGAGAGTGATGAGCTGATGATATCTGAGTGAGAGTGACCAGGAAGAGCTGATCAGGAAATCAGGCAAATAATGCTTTTGAGTCGACTCAAAAGGAGAGTGACCAGGACGAGCTGATCAGGAAATCAGGCAAATAATGGTGAAAGCATCAAGAGGAACTAGGGTTCCGTCTGACATCCCAAACTAGCCCACCAAGAATGGCGCGAAGGTGAACAGAAAAGCTAGATGCGATAATTGCAGATTCATTAACCGTGAAGCTTGTGTAATTTCATACGCCTTCAAACCTTTTTTATTTACACTAGCATTCTTATCGAGTCTGTTGTTCTCATCATAGCTCTACGATATTTAAATGTTGTGGGAATACAATCTCTCATGAAATGCTGAAAGTATCATGAGCAGGCAAACTTGGAATATATACTGAAACCATCAGGCACTGATTGAACTGGCATGAAGTGTTGCTGCAAACATTATGAGCTTGTCAAATTGGAAGGAAATACCGGATAGGCTTGTGACTTGATGACATTGGCAAGAACTGGAAAAGCATGCGGAGCAGATGAATGTGACATGAGATGCTGAACACATTAGGTAGGAGCTGCTGAAACTCACATGAGACGACGCGATGATGAGGCTGACAAGAGCTACAAAAAGAATCAGGGAATGATGAAAGACATGGTGAGATAACAAGTACGTAGTATCAGACACTGAAAACAGCATTTGCTGGTGGAATTGGGCATGAAACGCTAAAATCACTGATACCTTCAACAAAATGACATACGCTGTTGATACTGACATACGATCCTGAAAACATCTTGATCTCCTGAAACTAGCATGAAATACTGAAAGTATCATGCATGAGCTTTTGAATTTGGCATACAATACCAGTTAAATATGCATTTTGTTTCCGTCATAAGGGACTGCCGTTGCTGTGAAAATGGTGTGGACAACCAGATGCGCTGACAGCATCACTGCTGGCTGATTTTCAGATGATTGGAAGAGGGAGTGAAGGTTGAAAAGGGCAGAGAGGAAGGCAACACGACAAAACAAAACTGCTTACAGCATCACCAATGGCCAACCGTCGGATAGTTAGGGAAGCGGTCTGAGGAAGCAAGCAGGGATGGGAGTTCGGAGAAATATTGATAATCATACAAGTTCCTGGATTTTCTCAAATCAGTGCAGTTAGGCATCAAGAGGGGATTTTGAAACATGTACCATTATGAAGAGGTGAAGAGTGATGAAAGCTGATTGGTAGCGAAAGGAAAGGAAGTTGAGAGAACAGGAAGGAGTGGAGATGTGAACAGAGAGGGGAAAAGAGAAACGAAACTTGAGAAGAGCAGGGGGGGAGGCACTAGATCTATGACCACTGACCGACAGGCACAGGGCAACACAGAACATAATTCATCCCAAAGCAGACGTAATATTCACTGAAGCTGAATATAATAGAATCAAAAGGCGTCAAAGAGAGGACATCAGCTGATGAGATTCATTACCAGTGCCTGAAGGATTCCAGCTAAGGAGCGGATGATGAGCTAATGAAAGGGACATGTCAGGGTGAAGGATAGATGAGCTGAGAACTGTCGTATGAGAATCTTAAAGCATCATGATATGACCTGAGAATGGATTGGCAAGAAATCATGAAAGCATCAGGAGCTGATGAATCTGGCGTGCGATGCAGCATCATATGCTAAAAGAAAAGCACGTACAGAAACATACAATATCAACAACTTTAGCTGATGTGAAAATGTTGGAGTTTTTTGTGGTCCCTTCAACCATTACCAGTGTTGAAGTTTCAGCGAGGTGAGAGAAGCTGAGGGAGGGGGATACAAAGTATGGAGAGAGAGAAAGAGAGAGGGACAGTAGAATGCTATGAGCTCATGCTCAAATGAGACTAGCATGAACAACTGAAAGAATCAGGAGCTGATGCAGATGGCATGAAATATTGCGAGAGTGATGAGCTGATGATATCTGAGTGAGAGTGACCAGGAAGAGCTGATCAGGAAATCAGGCAAATAATGCTTTTGAGTCGACTCAAAAGGAGAGTGACCAGGACGAGCTGATCAGGAAATCAGGCAAATAATGGTGAAAGCATCAAGAGGAACTAGGGTTCCGTCTGACATCCCAAACTAGCCCACCAAGAATGGCGCGAAGGTGAACAGAAAAGCTAGATGCGATAATTGCAGATTCATTAACCGTGAAGCTTGTGTAATTTCATACGCCTTCAAACCTTTTTTATTTACACTAGCATTCTTATCGAGTCTGTTGTTCTCATCATAGCTCTACGATATTTAAATGTTGTGGGAATACAATCTCTCATGAAATGCTGAAAGTATCATGAGCAGGCAAACTTGGAATATATACTGAAACCATCAGGCACTGATTGAACTGGCATGAAGTGTTGCTGCAAACATTATGAGCTTGTCAAATTGGAAGGAAATACCGGATAGGCTTGTGACTTGATGACATTGGCAAGAACTGGAAAAGCATGCGGAGCAGATGAATGTGACATGAGATGCTGAACACATTAGGTAGGAGCTGCTGAAACTCACATGAGACGACGCGATGATGAGGCTGACAAGAGCTACAAAAAGAATCAGGGAATGATGAAAGACATGGTGAGATAACAAGTACGTAGTATCAGACACTGAAAACAGCATTTGCTGGTGGAATTGGGCATGAAACGCTAAAATCACTGATACCTTCAACAAAATGACATACGCTGTTGATACTGACATACGATCCTGAAAACATCTTGATCTCCTGAAACTAGCATGAAATACTGAAAGTATCATGCATGAGCTTTTGAATTTGGCATACAATACCAGTTAAATATGCATTTTGTTTCCGTCATAAGGGACTGCCGTTGCTGTGAAAATGGTGTGGACAACCAGATGCGCTGACAGCATCACTGCTGGCTGATTTTCAGATGATTGGAAGAGGGAGTGAAGGTTGAAAAGGGCAGAGAGGAAGGCAACACGACAAAACAAAACTGCTTACAGCATCACCAATGGCCAACCGTCGGATAGTTAGGGAAGCGGTCTGAGGAAGCAAGCAGGGATGGGAGTTCGGAGAAATATTGATAATCATACAAGTTCCTGGATTTTCTCAAATCAGTGCAGTTAGGCATCAAGAGGGGATTTTGAAACATGTACCATTATGAAGAGGTGAAGAGTGATGAAAGCTGATTGGTAGCGAAAGGAAAGGAAGTTGAGAGAACAGGAAGGAGTGGAGATGTGAACAGAGAGGGGAAAAGAGAAACGAAACTTGAGAAGAGCAGGGGGGGAGGCACTAGATCTATGACCACTGACCGACAGGCACAGGGCAACACAGAACATAATTCATCCCAAAGCAGACGTAATATTCACTGAAGCTGAATATAATAGAATCAAAAGGCGTCAAAGAGAGGACATCAGCTGATGAGATTCATTACCAGTGCCTGAAGGATTCCAGCTAAGGAGCGGATGATGAGCTAATGAAAGGGACATGTCAGGGTGAAGGATAGATGAGCTGAGAACTGTCGTATGAGAATCTTAAAGCATCATGATATGACCTGAGAATGGATTGGCAAGAAATCATGAAAGCATCAGGAGCTGATGAATCTGGCGTGCGATGCAGCATCATATGCTAAAAGAAAAGCACGTACAGAAACATACAATATCAACAACTTTAGCTGATGTGAAAATGTTGGAGTTTTTTGTGGTCCCTTCAACCATTACCAGTGTTGAAGTTTCAGCGAGGTGAGAGAAGCTGAGGGAGGGGGATACAAAGTATGGAGAGAGAGAAAGAGAGAGGGACAGTAGAATGCTATGAGCTCATGCTCAAATGAGACTAGCATGAACAACTGAAAGAATCAGGAGCTGATGCAGATGGCATGAAATATTGCGAGAGTGATGAGCTGATGATATCTGAGTGAGAGTGACCAGGAAGAGCTGATCAGGAAATCAGGCAAATAATGCTTTTGAGTCGACTCAAAAGGAGAGTGACCAGGACGAGCTGATCAGGAAATCAGGCAAATAATGGTGAAAGCATCAAGAGCTGATAAAAAAATCAGTTAAGGAAGAGACTTTGACGACATATATAAAGCCTGCTGACATGAGGAGGTGATGAAAGTAGATTGAATTACTCACCAAGCAGCACATGATGGTAAAAATAATACCCTGGGTTGGTTCATGCATATGTACGGTTTAAATTTAAAAGAAATGGAAGGAGGGAGGGAGGGAGGGAGGGATGGATTGGGATGAGACCAGGTCGTGGCGATTTGGACAAACAAGACAAGAGATGTCAGAAAGGGAAAGAGTAAGAGGGTCTGGGGGTACTAAGAAATAAGATTTGGACAAACAAGACAAGAGATGTCAGAAAGGGAAAGAGTAAGAGGGTCTAGGGGTACTAAGAAATCACAAATCCCAACCATGAAGTTACTAAGAAGCGCAGAGGGAAGGGAAGGGATCAACAGTCAGCATGAGCATTTCCCCTTGAATTGGACAGTCACTGCCAGCACTGTCAAGTTTCTTCTCCCTGCTTCACCCATCCATACGATTACACCCACCAACCATTCCTCCATCAGAATACACCATTCAGTCGCAACACACGAGCACAGAATGCACATCAACAGAATACATATATATCTAGCATCAACAACTACAAGCTACAGGCCTAGAACATGGACCTGAATGATAATCTAGAACTTTCTACTATTCATGAGCCAAGCAGGTGCACGGTGCAGCAACATGTGGCACAGTCAGCACAAGCATTCAGATCCAAGGGCATGCCATTCCCCCTCATGCCATGCCTCCCCATTACAGCTCACCACATTCCTCCACCTCTCCTCCCATCTCTCCCACAACACCCTGCAAGCAGGGTGGGAAAAGGGGTAAGTCCCTCCATGCACCTCCCTCTTGCCCCCACCAGCCATGCCATCTCACCCACCACACTCGTCCGCTTACATTCCCATAAAGCACGCCCTGGATCTCATCTAGTGCTGCTGCTGCTGCTGCTTTTTCTTTTATTTTCTTGTTCCTTTTTTCTTCTTCTTTTGAACACGCACCTCCCTTCACATCCCTATCGATTACGCTCTGCATCCCACCTGCTGCTGCTGGTTGTTGTTGTTGTTGTTGTTGTTGGGGTTTTTTTTTTTTTTTTTTTTTTTTTTTTCCACCATTTCACTTGACTACTGCCTTGCCTGGCTTCGGAATGCCACTTCCCGTCACTCCTGCTGCACCCCTCCTTATAGGCAAACCGATTGCAGGTCTGGAAATTCCACTTGCGCCAACACCCGCCTTCGGGGTGAGAGGAGCTGCTGATGCTTGGCTGCGCGCTTCGGACACCACCTTGGGGATTCCACTTGGACCAACAACACCTGTCTTCGCTCTGAGGGGAGCTGCTGCTGGGCTGCTTGCACCTGCCATTAAGGGGAGCTGCTGCTGGGCTGCTTGCACCTGCCGTTGAGGGGAGCTGCTGCTGGGCTGCTTGCACCTGCCGTTGAGGGGAGCTGCTGCTGGGCTGCTTGCACCTGCCGTTGAGGGGAGCTGCTGCTGGGCTGCTTGCAACTGCCGTTGAGGGGAGCTGCTGCTGGGCTGCTTGCACCTGCCGTTGAGGGGAGCTGCTGCTGGGCTGCTTGCACCTGCCGTTGAGGGGAGCTGCTGCTGGGCTGCTTGCACCTGCCATTGAGGGGAGCTGCTGCTGGGCTGCTTGCACCTGCCGTTGAGGGGAGCTGCTGCTGGGCTGCTTGCACCTGCCGTTTTGATTTCAAAAGCAGCATCACCTCATTTGGCGTAGTGGATTGCTGGTCTTCATAAGCATTCCACGAGCGTATTGTTTACGGACACACATGAAAGACAGCATGGCAGCTGATGTGAATCTGATGAGAGGCACACAAAGAAACGGGAACATGCAGGGAAATGTGAGCGCGCGCACAAAAAGAGAAGTGGGTGTTCATGGGACGGAGTGGCTTGGCTTCTAGAATCAATAACGAATCTGAAGCAGAGTAGGAATGGGTCAAATGCATGGAAAGCATCAGATTGGGTGTAATAAACAGGTTCAATGACTTACGCGACACCTGCTGCAGCAATGCTGGTGAGTGAGAGGTAAGGCATCTGAGCCAGCAGCGTAAAGCAGTTGGCATAACGATATACGTTGATAAACTGGCATTCCCCTGCTCCTCCCGGTGCCCTGTCCACCCGCCGATATGAGCGCACATTGAGGCTGATTACTGACGGCAGGTTGGTGCATCCGGTGTATTCCACACGCACGGTGAAGGTGTAGGGTGTCAAGGCAAATGCCGGCTGGTTGTAGAAGGTGAGACTTGCAGAGGACACGGTTGGGGTGGCTCCTGGAGGGAAGGGGATTGCGTGTGGAGGAGGAAGTGAAGGCATGTCGGGGCATCCATTGTAGGTCACACGCATGGTGTAGGTGTAGCGTGCCAAGGGTATCGGGTGTGACGCGGGGTATGGGGTCGTGAGAAGGATACATGCACAATTGATGAATAAACCTAGCTAAACTTGAACTTTTGATGTATCCACGAATGCGATATAATTGGTTCTTCTTGAATACAAACAAGCATAATGGCCTTACCGGCAACGCAACCAGTGCTGGCCATGCCATAGCCACGAGGGCAGACGCAGTAGGGAGCCTTTCTGGTGGAGGAGACAAGCGTGCATGTGGCCAGGGACGGGCAATTGCCACACGTGGCCAGCCCTGGTGAGGTTGGGGTGGCAAAATAGTGGAAACATGTCAGAAGAGGAGCCATGGAGAGCAGGTAGAGTAGACGGGGCAAAGAGGGCACACAAGCGTGCATGTGGCCAGGGCTGGACAGGTGCCACATGTGGCAGGCCCTGGTGCGCGCAGGGTGGAGAAATGGCGGGGGACACATCACAGCACGAGAATCAGAGGGGCAGCATAAGCAGAGTGCATGTGCCCCCAGGGACGGACTCTTGCTACATGTGGCAGGTTCTGGCGAGCACAGGGTGGAGAAATGGTGGGAATATGTGAGTGCGATAGGAGAGCAGGTGGATTAGAAGGAGAGAAGCTTAGTGCTTGGACTGGGCTGGATAGAAAGGGGAGAAAGGGGAGAAAAGGAGACGTTTAGAATAGATGGCAACACGCAACAAAACATAGGACTGCACAATGAGCACAATGCAAAGTGTGATAGAGATGCACATAATAGCATGGGAATACCGGGGGGGCAGCATAAAAAGAGCATGCAACCATAGTCGTGTGCGCAGGCAAAACAATGCACAGGACGGAGAGAGGAAGGAGTGAGAGTGGACGCAGTTGGTGTGGGGGGGAGGGGAGGGGAGGTTGTAATCCATCCAAGAGTATCAAGACTGCATGACGTACCAACACAGGTGCCGTAGAGCAGTGTGTAGCCTGGCTTGCACAGACAGTACGCCGTGCCATCCTCGTACTTCCTACAATCTGACGTGAGTGCCTGGCACCCCCTGAGAATGCAATTATCTGAGGGGGAGGGGCAAAGGAGTAAAGCAATGTGCAGGTCCTTAGATTGAGAGAGAGTGTAGAGAGGACGGAGAGGACGTAGAACATTCGGGCTTGAGGGAAGGACAAAGAAAGAGAGAGCGTGAGAGAGAAAAGGGACAAGGACCATAAGAGAAAAGGGACATGGAAGAGAGGACAAGAGAGGACGGGCACAAGGAAGAGCACATGCGAGAGGAAGACGTGGAGGGAGAGGAATAATTAGAGGAAGAGGTAAAGGAAGAGGTAGAGGAAGAGAGAGAGGAAGAGGTAGAGGGAGAGAGAGGAAGAGGTAGAGAGATTGGGAAAGAAGGGGAGAGAACACGTAAGTACATGGGACACACAGCAGCAAAACACAGAAGGACGCAAGAGCACACGCACACAGCAAGGCACAGCAAGGCACAGCATCCTTACCCATGCATGTCCTGCCATCATCTTGCAGCGTGAAACCAATGTCACACACACAAGACGCCATCCCTGCTGCGTCCTTCACACAGCGGCCGTTCTCACCACATGCTTGCAATATGCACGTGTCTGCCAGGGGAGGGAGGAGTCGCAGGGTCAATAAACGCAAAGTGTTAGAAAATGAATGAAAAATACATTGGAAAGCGCATTACATTGGCACAGCACACACAATGACGGTAGCACACAACAGCCTAACCTAACCACTCCAAATCATGCCGGCGTTGTGCAACACATAAGGAGTATCGACTTTGGCAGCAGATCACTGACTGACCAACACAGCCGGTGTCGGTCATGGCATAACCAATGTTGCAGGGAGAGACGGCGAGCAAAAAACACACAGACCACAGAAGCACAATCGTCACGCATGGCAGCAGAGCACTGACTGACCAACACAGCCAGTGTCGGTCATGGCGTAGCCCCAGTTGCAGTGACACACAGCAAGATCCTGCTCCTTCTCACAGTACCCGTTCTCCCCACAGTCCCTTATCGCACACGAGTCTGTCGGGGGCACAGCATGAGAGAAGGCACATACGGCCCGGGAGCAGCAACAAGAGAGTGAGGGATTTTGGGGCACCTCAAACAAAAGTAGCCCGTGCTCCTTCTCACAGTCCCCGTTCTCCCCACAGTCCCTTATCGCACACGAGTCTATCGGGTTGACACACACAGCACGAGAAAACGCACATGAGGCCGGGAAGAAGCAACGACCGAGTGAGAGTGCACGGGAGAGAGAGGAAGGGGAGAATGGCCGGAGTGCCCTGCCTGACTGAGAGGAAGGGGAGAATGGCCGGAGTGCCCTGCCTGACTGAGAGGAAGGGGAGAATGGCCGGAGTGCCCTGCCTGACTGCTGTGTATGCATGCGTGCCTGAGAGGACTTTGAGTGCAAACAGGAAAGCTCATACCGAGAACAATTGCATGGGTGTTGTTACGCGCTGGAGAGGGGGATTCAGGCCACAGGAAGAAGCTAACATAGGAGCAACAAGGGTGGGTGAAGGCACTCACGCGTGCAGGACATTCGGCAGCAGCGGATACAGGAAGCAGCAAACAGGGTGGGAAGGCACTCACGAGCGCATGACGCATTGGGCAGCAGCTTGAGGCCCCTCTCACACTCGCAGTTGGCCCAGCCTGCCTCGTTCTTCAAGCACCTCGAGTTGGGGCCGCAGTTGCATACCGTGCAAACGTCTGCACTCACACACGTGGGGGCAGACACAGGCACGTGGGGGTAGACACAGACACGTGGGGGCAGGCACATTGGGGCAGAAACAGGGGGTAGACACATAGGGGCAGACACGTGGGGGCAGACACGTGGGGGCGGACACGTGGGGGCAGACACGTGGGGGCAGACACGTGGGGGCAGACGGGGCAGGCACATAGCACAATTGACCAGAAACCATAACGCCATGTGCACAAGCTGTGTGAAATGCAGATACCAGATAACGCCATGATGAGCCATGGAACAGGTGCAGCGGATCGGAGTGGAGTGTGGAGCAATGTTGCAATGTTGCATGCACATTCAATCACTCACGCAAAATGCAGCAGATACAAGCAATGTATAGTAAGGCCATGAAGTTGCAGTGCAGCAATGCTGCATGCAGATTCTATCATTCTGACAGCACCAGCACCCACCAACGCAGTTGCCCTCGGCGTCCTTCTCTTGGCCCCGCGGGCAGCGGCGGTTGCTGGCAGCAGGTGGCAGGACGACGGCTGGAGCCCTGGGCGCATTCTCTGCGAGACACCATGGGGGGCAGGGAGGCAGGCGGTGGTCAAGATGGTCAAGTTGGATGGAAGGGTCGCAGATAGTTGGATTGGAAGTTTTCAAGGGTACTGAGTTGACTTTTGAGTCGACTCAAAAGTCAGATGGTCAAGATGGATGGAAGGGTCGTCGCAGATAGTTGGATTGGAAGCTTTCAAGGGTACTGCGAGAGGGAGAGATGGAGATGGGGAGTGAGTGAATCAGCCTTCAATGTTGATCAAGCAGCACCTGGCGTCAGCGCGGGCCACACTCGAAGAAGCACAAAGAAGGAACTGACCGCCTTTAGTCGACTCAGAAATAGCGCGGGCCACACTCAAAGAAGCACAAAGAACCGACCGCTTTTGAGGCGCCTCAAAACCCAATCGGAATGATTAATCATAGCGGCAAAGAACAGAAGCATGCCAGCAGACAGCAGCCTTACCAGCGCACGACTTGCCATCGTCTCGCAGCGTGAAGCCAGCGTCACACACACACACGACGCCGCCCCGTCCTCGTCCTTCACGCACTGCCCGTTCACACCGCACTCCAGGAGCACACACGTGTCTGTTAGGGGAGGGCGGAGTGGCGGGCGAAGGGAATAACATCAGTGAATGTGAAGGGAAATGTACCTAAATAGCAGCAAAACAATCAAACCACACATGGCAGCAGCAGCACACAGCACATTAGCAGCAGCAGCAGCAGCATGCACCTACCTGCGCCCCTGCTCCTCTTCACAGTGAAACTCATCGGACCAACAGGGATACGCAGCAGCACTGACCAACACAGCCGTTGGCGGTGACGTTTGAGTCGACTCAAAAGCCAGGGTAACAAACACAGGATGTCATCACAGCTCGACTCATCAATACAACAGGGATAGGCAAGCAGCACTGACCAACACAGCCATCGGCAGTCTTGGCGAAGCCAGTGTTGCAACGACACGTGGTGCGCCCCTGCACCTCCTCACAGTACCCGTTCTCTCCACAATCCTGAATCATGCACACCTCTGCCAGGTTCACAGCACGAGAGGGCTCACATCAGAGCAAGCACAGGGCAGCAGAAACGTGATGCTGGATGGAGTGGCCACAGCATGCTGAGAGGCAGTACATGCGACTGGGAAGGTTTGAAACGAGAGGCAGCAATGGCACCGGTGTTGCTACCCCTTGCTGGGGAGGATTCAAGCCCTTGACCATGGCAGCCTTGAAGTCAAGCACGAGAGGAAACAACAAGGGCGGCAGTAGTAGGTCATGTCATGTGCAGGACGCTGGAGTGGGCAGCAGCGGATATGAGAAGCAACAAGGGTGGGTGAAGCAACAAGGGTGGGTGAAGCAACAAGGGTGGGTGAAGCAACAAGGGTGGGTGAAGCAACAAGGGTGGGTGAAGCAACAAGGGTGGGTGAAGGTGAAGGGTGAAGCTGGGTAAATGTAACACCTCGCTACCCACTGGGTCAAAACGAGGGTTATATTTGAGGCGAAGCGGATGCACTCAACCCTTACATGAGTGCATCCACTGGAGCCCCACAGGCGTTACACTCGTCCCCCCCTGGAGCCAACGTCCTCATTGGGCAGGGAGTCGAGTCGGCCCTCGCAAGGACCTCAATCTCACTCTACAGCCCAGCGGCCTTCGCTGGTGGGCCAGCCCAGCGACGGATCGCTCACTGGGTTTGCGACTGGGTCACCACATTCAATTTCTCGCCCACAGCGGAAAGTGTGACCCAGCCAGGAATCGAACCCTAGCCTATGAGACCAATTGTATCACCTCGCTACCCACTCAGTCAAAACGAGGGTTATATTTGACGCGCAGCAAATACACTCAACCCTTACATGAAAGCCCCACAGGCGTTACAGAGAAGGTGAGCTCACGCGCGCAGGAGGCGTTGGGCAGCAGCTTAAAGCCCCTGTCACACACGCAGTCCGCCCAGCCCGCCACGCTCTTGAGGCACCTCGCGTTGGCGCCACAGCTGCGATCCGTGCATGCCAGGCGCAAGGCTTCCGCCGCCCTGGGCGCACATGCTGGGAGAATCCGGGGAAGAGAGGGGGAGGGGTTTGGGGGGGAAAGGGGGGGGGGGGGGGGGAGGGTCCGGGCTGCCATCCGTGCATGGCCGACGTTATTAAGCCTGGGCCAGGCGCAGGGGT